ACAGGCGATGGCTGTTGCCTTCTGTTCATTTTCCCGGAGGGCTTTTCTAGATACATATCATTGGTTCTCAGCCTGAGTGGTCTTGTCCACCAGGTGACATTTTATTTATCACAGCAACCCCATCCCACAGCAGAGACTTAGCCAGGCCCCAAATGTTAGTGGTGCCAGGGTTGAGAAACCTGTGAATACACCATGTTCATATCTGTATTCTATTTCCTTCTTTGCTCCCCAAGAACAGTGCTAAGGGGCTCTACTGATTGTTGCTTTTTTATTAATCAACAGGTTGACTTTTTGTTTCAACAGATAGGACTCTTATTTTAGCAGCTGTATTTAATTACATTTAAAGGTAGACTTCGGGACATTTCTCCAGGTGCCTTCTACTAGGTTGTTTTCCATTTGGGCTGTTGAAAACAGCTGCAGCGAAGACCCTTTTGCCTACGAGGGAGCGACATGCTGGGGTGAATTTCTAGGCGCGTAGTCCAGGGTGAAGGGTTGCATGCCTTTGATGGTTGGAGATGGTTTGCTAGGTGCCCTCTAAAAAGGCAGTTGCAATTTAAGCTCTCTCCAGAAATGGAAGATCATGCCTTCTTCTCTAGTGTGGGCATTTTTTATCCCTGACTTCCATTTATAGCCTAAGCTGTCTTCCTATCAGCTGAAAAGTTCACAGTGTTGGCAGCCAGGGTGGATTCTCCCAATATAGCAGGGCAGGGGTGGAGAAAGCCCTGAGAGGCACCCGGGAGCTAAATGGGAAAGCGGAGCTTGACTTCTCTCCCTGCGGAGGGGTGAAATGGCAAAACGTGCTGAAAGTTTTGAGAAAGGTAATTACATTTGGTTGAAATCCAGAAGGACAGCTCCAGAGGCCTGGTCCCAGTCCCCAGATGCTTGGTGGTTTATTCTAACAAGAACACATGTCACAGTTGCTTATTGACCAGAGAAACCTTATATTGTAAAATGAGGTGCCTCATCGTTGCATTATCTTGATGAAAATTCCAGAGTTTGGTCTTTCTGGGTTGAAGTTAAGGGGTTGCATGTGCTGCAAGGATTTGTATAGAGGTGCACACAGGCATGTACACACACACACACACACACACACACACACACACACACACACACACACACACAGCAGTTCAGTTATTTTGGCGAGGTCTGTGTCTGTTTCCATGAACCCTAAGGTTTATAAGGGTTGTACTGTTCACACACACACATAGAAGTTGGGCACCTAGTGGGCTTTCTTTACTTTTGGAGGAGATGGGTCTAATGACAGGGGTTCTCTGCCAATTAGCTGCCAATTGGGATCACCGGTGAGGAGGGGCTTGTAAAAGGCTGATGCCCAGGCCTCCCAGGGGAGCCAGTTAATTCAGTATCTCTGGGGTGGGTGGAGCCTAGGTTTTAGGATTTTCTAAAGTTGTATAGGCAACTTCAGGGTGCAGCCCCTGCTGGCAGTCCCTGGACTGGGACAGGAGATGGCAGCGGATTTTATGGCCTTTGGGCCAAATCTGGCCCCCTCCTGTGTTTGTAAAGAAAGTTTAGTGGGACACAGCCACACCCATGTGTTTCTGGGTAGGTATGGCTGCCTTTGCCAACAGAACCATGTGGCCTGTAAAGTCTGAAGCATTTACTGTCTGAGCTTTCACAGAAGTGTGTTGATCTTTGTGATAGGAGATTATTTACTTATTTATTTATTTGAGTTGGAGTCTCACTCAGTTGCCCGGGGCACGCTCACAGCCACTGTAGCCTCGACCTGCTGGGCTCTAGCGATCCTTCCACCTCAGCCTCCCAAGTAGCTGGAACTACAGGCACATGCTACCACGCCCAGCTAAATTTTTTTATTTATTATAGCGACAAGGTCTCACCATGTTGCCCAGGTTGGTCTCGAACCCGTGGGCTCAGGCAGTCCTCTTGCCTCGGCCTCTCAAAGTGCTGGAATTACAGGCTTTGAGCCACTGTGCCCTGCTGGTTTTTTTTTTTTTTTTTGATAACTGTGAGATTCAGTGGCCGTCTAGGAGTGTTATTGAGGACACCAATAAATTTGTCACCCAGGTAGCCCTTCTTCCTCCTGCCCCCTTTGTGGGACGTGTTTCTGTGAAGTACTTCTTTTCCAGCCTTCTGCTTAGAAAGGCTGCCTTTTCCCTCAGAATCCAGGGTGCCTCCTCATTTCTGGAAGTAGAAATTCTGAGACGGCCTCGAACTCTCTCCTTTTGCTGTCACATCTGCGACTCAGCTGTTAAGTCCTTAAGTCCTTCTTATGCGAGCTGTTCTTTCTTCTGGTCTTGCTGGTTTCTTTCCGTGTTTCCCTGGTCCCTGTTCTTTTTTTTCCTTGCTGTAGTTTTCACTGTTTCACTCTGCGAATTCTCTTTCTGAGCTGCTTCAAATTCCTTGGCAGAGAGACAGGTATAGATAAGTAGTTTTCTCATTCTTTCTCCAGTAAATTGGAATGAACATTCTTCTCCCTGTGGGAGGTGGCTGTCTGCTCACACAGGCTTCTCAGTGATGTCTGCAGTCCTGTCTCCAGTGTCTCTCTGAAAAGCTCCTAGTCGGTGTGCGCTCTCACACACAGATGTGTGCACATTCATAGGGACATGTGTTTGGTGTTTATTTTGAACTACAGGGGTAGTGTCTATGCTTGCTTTGAGCATTCACTTCTGGAATCTCCCTGAGGGGGTCACAGAGGGGAAACTCTCAAGTGTGTTTTAGGGGGAAAAAGCCCTTAATCTTACCTTGGTTGGGGACATTGTTACTGTGATAAAATTAAGTTGGAACAATTTTTCGTTTTAGTTGGAATCTCACTCTGTTGCCCAGGCTGAATGCAGTGGTGTAATCACAGCTCACCGCACCCTCAAGCTCATGGGCTGGGTGATCCTTCTGACTCAGCTTCCTGAGTAGTTGGGACTACAAGCGTGTGCTACCACACCCGGCTAATTTTTTTAATATACATTTTATAGAGACGAGGTCTCGCTGTATTGCCCAGGCTGGTCTCTAACTCCTGGGCTCAAGTAGTTCTCTCACTTTGGCCTCCCAAGGAGCTGGGATTACAGGCATGAGCCACCGTTCCCAGCTAGGTAGGAGCAATTTGTTGCTTCTGGTCACCTATGAGTGGGTCAGATGAGGCTTTCTGGTTACTTTGGAGGAACTGGTTTCTGGGTGTATAGTCAGTGTTAGAGTGTGCCCCCTTCCTGGTGAACAGGAGGGTGTTTGAGGAGAGAGGGAGACTTGGCACAGCTCTTTCAGTCCACTCCCAGTCTGAATCCTGGGGCCTCTTGTATAGAGGTGGCCTGTGGCGTGGGAAGTCCAGGGATCAAGCTGGAAGCTGGTGGGAAGTGGCTCAGGGTGGCCTCTCCTCTTTGTCAGGGATGGATGCCATCTGCTTTCTGATCTGTTTTCTGGGGTTGACTGGGGTAGGGTAGATGTCCCAGGTTCTCTGCTCTGGGAGGGTCGGAGGGCATGCCAGAGGGCAGGTCAAGGAGGAGATAGCACGCCCACCCGCAGAGCTGTTCCTGGCCTTCTGGCCGTCTGTAGTCACCTCAACTGTGCTGTGCCCCCATGCCTAGGTTTTTAGGGTGCTAAAGGAGACAGTGGAGGAGGTAGAACAGGCACTCTAGAAATGTAAGCTCACTGGCCCTTCCGATCTGGACCAGCTGGTCCTAGGAAGAGCCCTTGGCAGCAGTGAGGGGACAGGACCTCCGGGCCTGAGACCTTGTCACAGGCTTTTGTCTGGGAGTCGGGCTGGGGAGTGTGGACTGAGCAGGTCGAATGTCCAGGCTAATCTAGTCACCTTGCCTTGAATAGACGCTGTGAGGCAAAGGTGACTCCACATACCTGGGCTGAAGGGTCTCCCTGTCTTGTGTCCCTGCCCTTTCAAGCCTGAGCCCCAGACCAGGCTGACTGAGCATGTGCGGTGACACCTCCGTGGTGACTTGATGTCTCTGTGGTGATGAAGCAGCCAGGGTCCCCGGTTGACAGGTGTTCTCTGGGGGGCTCACTGTCTTTCTTGGACACAAGCCCTCTCTGATTTAAACCCAAACTTATACACATACTCTGCCCAGGTTGGATGTGGCTTTGTCTACTGATGTTGAGACTGAGTGTGCTGCTGTGACCTTGTGCTCTGGGGACATCCCCTGTGACACTGTGTTTCATGTACGGAGCCATCTGGCTGTGACCGTCCACTTGAAATGCTGAAAGCGCCAGACGCGGTAGCTCACGCCTATAATCCCAGCAATACGGGAGGCTGAGACGAGAGGATTGCTGGAGCCCACGGGTTTGAGACCAGCCTGGGCAATTTGGTGAGACCTAGTCTCTATGATAGATCAAAAAATTAGTCGGGCGTGGTGGCGCATGCCTGTAGTTCCAGCTCCTTGGAAGGCTGAGGCAGAAGGATCAGACGAGCCTAGCAGGTTGAGGCTGCAGTGGCCATGAGAATGCCACTGCCTTCCAGCCTGGGCAACGGTGAGACTCTGACTCAAAAAAAAAAGAATAAAAAAAAGCCGGGCTTGGTGGCTCAGCCTGTAATCCCGCGTTTTGGGAGTCTGAGGATGAGTGGATTGCCTGAGCCCGCGGGTTCGAGACCCACCTGGGCAACTTGGCGAGACCTCATCTCTATGATAAATCAAAAATGAGCTGGGTGTGGTAGTGCGTGCCTGTAGTTCCAGCTGCTTGGAAGGCTGAGGCGGAAGGATTGCCGGAGCCCAGCAGGTCGAGGCTGCAGTGGCTGGGAGCGTGCCCTGCACTTCAGTCTGGGCGACAGAAAAAAAAAATGAATAAAGAAAGAAGTGCTGAAAGCAGCATGGATATTTGCCCAGTGGGCTGCGGAAGCCTGCCACCTACGTTCCCATGGCCATTGTCTTTGTGTCCCCCATGTGGTTGAACCAATAGGATGATTGAGGTGAAACTTGCGTGCCCCCAAATGTGCATTTCACGCTGGCTTTGTGGGGAGGCGACTCGGTGCGGGCGGGTTCGTCCACCCCGTGTTCCCAGGCTGACGAGGCTGGGACGGTGTCTTCCAGATCGGAGCAAGGCCGAGATGGATCTGAAGGAGCTCAGTGAGTCGGTCCAGCAGCAGTCCACGCCTGTCCCACTCATCTCGCCCAAGCGCCAGATCCGCAGCAGATTCCAGCTCAACCTTGACAAGACCATCGAGAGCTGCAAAGCACAGCTGGGTACGTCTCGCGGGGGTTTTTGGCAGCAGCATTATTTTCTTACTTGCAGGGGCACCGTCTGGATGACTTTAGGATTGAATCCTAGCCACTTCAGCAGTTGCCCTAACCTCGAACTGTTGGTTCACCGAGGATAGGTCTCCACCCATGTCCGCATCCCTCAGACTTGCCAGTTAATGACCAAGAAGGGTCTTTGAATGCATCAGAGTGTGTTCTTTGGTGGAAGCAGGCTGAAAACCCAGGTTCAGTTTGAAAGCCCAATGAAGAGCCAGGTGCGGTGGCTCACGCCTGTAATCCCAGCACTTTGGGAGGCCGAGGCGGGAGGATCGCTTGAGCCCAGGAGTTTGAGAACAGCCTGGGAAACGTAGTGAGACCTTGTCTCTACAAAAAATTAAAAAATTAGCTGAGCATGGTAGCACAGGCCTGTAGTCCCCAGCTACTTGGGAGACTGAGATGGAGGGATTGCCTGAGTCCAGGAGGTTGAGGCTGTGGTGAGCCGTGATTGTACCACTGCATTTCAGCCTGGGTGACAGAGTGTGAGACCCTGATTCAAAAAAGAAAAAAAAAAGCGTAATGAAGAGCCTCTGAGTCTGCCTCTGTTTCCCCCTCTCAGTATACATCAGTGTGTCCACACCAGAACCGAATGTGTCCAACACAAAGCCCTTTCCCTTCAGCCTGGATCATTCCCCACCTGGCAAACCCTTTCTGCTTCTGCACCTGTGGCTTCCCTTCCTCTTCCCTTTTCCATCTGCCTCCACACTGGCTGCCCTTCCCTGAGTTTGAACTCAGGCCTCACCTTCTCTAGGAAGTCTCCCCTGACTGCCCTCCGCATCTGCCCACCTCCTTGGGTATTTTGTTGCTTGGCAGCAGTAGTGGTACCTTTGTGTGGGAATATCCCTCCTACTAGACTGGAAGCTCCCTGCAGGCAGGGCGGTTGTCTTAAACGGATTTGTGTCCTCAAATCTTCAAAAGGTAGTGGGTCTATTCATGTGGCAGATGCTTTGCATATGTGGTGAAAAAGTAATTTAAGCCAGGAGAAAGTTGGTAACGAAGTGGGGGTGGTTGGGCCTCGGGAGTGAGGGCTACCCCAAGGTGAGTGGCAACGTGGGATATCCAGGTGGAAAAGCAGCTATCATTTGGGACCATCTGGGACTGCCCAGGGGACAGCGTTTTTTGGTTTAGAATGTTTGTGGCATAGATGAGACTTAGCATGTGTCAGTTAATCTCTCTGGGGTCCTTCCATGCCGCTGGCCTAAGCCCTTGACTTGTGAGGATTGCTGACAAGAATTTTAGCATTGCCGTTAACTGAGTGTCTCCTGTCACCCTGCAGTTATGTGAAGCTCTTGTGTGCGGATTTTCTTGGGAGGTTGATACTATTACCATTCCCATTTTGTGGGTGAAGAAACAGGCTCAGACAGGTCCCTTTTTCAGGGTCACCACTGCTAACCAAAAATAGAGGAGCAGAATTTGATTTGAATCCCTGAGGCTTCCGTACCCAAACTTCCTGTTGCTTGTGTGGTTGTACCTTTTCTTCTTGTTTCCAGCCGTTGGCTGCCGGATGTTGCTTTTGTGTTTTGGCTTGTGTTTTTGGTTGAGTCCCGGTGGACGTGGGTTCGGTTGGTCTCCCGTGTCCTGGGCTGTGTGAGGTTCTTGTCCTTTTGCCGGTTTCTCTTTGGTGTGTCCGTGTCCAGATGGTGACACCACTCAGATGGCTGTTGGTCTAGAATGAAGAGAGTGTAGTTAGTGGGACTCCCTCTCCACTTCTCGACATTTTAGGATGGTTTGCCACAGTCTTTGGGCACTGTTGGGAGGAGGAAGCATCTCTGGTTAGAAATACACTTTTGCAAGCCGGGCTCGGTGGCTCAGCCTGTAATCCCACGCTTTGGGAGGCTGAGGTAAGTGGATTGCCTGAACCCATGGGTTCAAGACCTGTCTGGGCAACTTGGCGAGACCTCATCTCTACAATAAATCAAAAATCAGCCGGGCGTGGTAGTGCGCGCCTGTAGTTCCAGCTACTTAGAAGGCTGAGGCGGAAGGATTGCCAGAGCCCAGTGGGTCGAGGCTGCGGTTCCCCGGAGTGGCCACTGCACTCCGGTCTGGGCGACAGAGTGAGACTCCAACTCAACAAAAAAAAAAAAAAAAAAAAAAAAGAAAGAAATACACTTTTGCTCATTCTTGTTTGTGCATGTGAAACCCTTGCTGTTTTGTACGTTGCCCTTTTAATGAAGACAGAAGCCTGTGACTTCCCTCTTGATTCCCTTGTCAGTGGAAGAACAGGGCAGACACCGTGGCAGCCTACTCTCTGCTGTGGGGCAGGGAGCAGGAGGGAGGCCGGGCGCCTGGGTCACCTGGGGACCGAGGGCTTCCCTGCCTTAAGGGAGCCAGTAGCTTCTCGGTCCCGGCCAGCTACTGTCTGGCAGACTGGTGTCTCTGGGTGGCCAGCTCTTCTGGTCTCTCAGCAATAGCCCACCATCCTGATTTCTATGTGGAGTTTCCCGATGTGTGAATTGGGTGATGCATTCTAAATTAAAAACACCAAACGACAAAATACCCTGTGGACCAAACCATTGCCTCTCACATAAGACGTGTCTGCTGTCTACATGCGGCTTGTGGACTGAGAGCTTGCAACCTGTGCTTTAAGGCATTGACTTATTTCTTTGGACCCTAGACACTCAGGGTAAAGGGCTTTAATGCTTTGGGGGTACGCATGGGAAGAACACTGGTGGTAGGTCAGGAGCCCAGGGTTCGGGTCTGGCTTCTGTCTTGGTTTTCTCTTTGTCCTAGAGCAAGTGATTTCTCTGAGTCTCTGCTTTCTAATCTAAATTTGATCGATTTGACCAGCTCCTCCCCGCTGTCCCCTTTCAACCTTCCCATTTTCTCTATCCCAATTAGCTGCCAGTGTTGCAAAGATTAATTTTTGTTGGTAGGTCCCATGTTTCTTTGAATGCTAGTAAACAAAACCCCTTCCAGACACACCCCAGTTCTATTTGTCAGCTGTAGTCGGTTGCCACTTGAGTGCCACCAGGCCAGTGTGATGCGATTTGAAATGTGTTTTCTTGGTTGAGTGCATTGCCTCACGCCTGTAATCCTAGCACTTTGGGAGGCTGAGGCGGGAGGAGGAGCGCATGAGCCTAGGACCTTGTGTCCAGCTGAGGCAACATAGTGAGACCTCGTCTCTAAAAACAAACAAACAAACAAAAAAAGTTAGCTGGGCGTGGTGACATGTGCTTGTAGTCCCAGCTATTTGGGAGGCTGAGGTGGGAGGATCACCTGAGCCCAGGAAGTTGAGGTTGTGGTGAGCCGTGATCGTGCCACGGCACTGCAGCCTGGGTGACCGAGGGCGAGACCCTGACTCAAAAAAAAAGTGTTTTCTTCTTCCAGCATTAGGTGTGGAAACTGTTTGCCTTTTTGGTCCTTTTCTGTATTTGTGACTGCACCACTTGCTGGGTTTCTCTTTTGAATTTAGGCATAAATGAAATCTCTGAAGACGTTTACACGGCCGTAGAGCACAGCGACTCGGAGGATTCTGAGAAGTCCGACAGTAGCGATAGTGAGTATCTCAGTGATGACGAGCAGAAGTCCAAGAATGAGCCGGAAGACACGGAAGACAAGGATGGCAGTCGGATGGACAAGGAACCATCTGCGGTCAAAAAAAAGCCCAAACCCGCCAACCCGGTAGAGATCAAAGAAGAGCCAAAGAGCGCATCACCAGCTAGCGAGAAGGCAGACCCAGGGGCCGCCAAGGACAAGGCCAGCCCGGAGCCTGAGAAGGACTTTGTGGACAAAGCCAAACCTTCGCCTCACCCCACGAAGGATAAACTGAAGGGAAAGGATGAGACGGATTCCCCGACGGTGCATTTGGGCCTGGACTCTGATTCAGAGAGTGAACTTGTCATAGATTTGGGAGAAGACCATTCTGGGCGGGAGGGTCGGAAAAATAAGAAGGAACCCAAAGAACCATCTCCCAAGCAGGACGGTAAGTGATGGCGTCAGTTTCCGGTTTCTTAATTTGGTTTAGAAAATTCCACCTTGTACGAAAGTCTTAGCAAATCACATGACCAGCCGGGCTCGGTGGCTCAGCCTGTAATCCTGTGCCTCGGGAGGCTGAGGTGAGTGGATTGCCTGAGCCCGCGGGTTCGAGACCCACCTGGGCAACTTGGCGAGCCCTCATCTCTATAATAAATCAAAAACTAGCCGGGCGTGGTAGTGTGCACCTGTAGTTCCAGCTACTTGGAAGGCTGAGGCGGAAGGATCGCCGGAGCCCAGCAGGTCGAGGCTGCGGTGGCCGGGAGCAGCCACTACACTCCGGTCTGGGTGACAGAGTGAGACTCCAACTCAAAAAAAAAAAAAAAAAAAAAAATCACATGACCCTCTAACTCCGCTGAGAGGGGCACAGCAGAGTGGGTGGTGATGGCTTTAGGCTCACACTGCTAGGTAGTGCACGGGACCCGGACTCACATGTAGACCTGCCCGACTTCTAGCTGCTTGCACCTCACATGATTGGTGTTAAGTGCAGAAAAACAAGTCTCAGAAAATGGTAGCTGCACCAGGCGCGGTGGTTTATGGCTGTCATTCCAACACCTTGGGAGGCCAAGGTGCGAGGATTGCCTGAGCCCAGGGGTTTGAGACCAGCCTGGGCAACTTGGCGAGACCTCGTCTCTACAATAAATGAAAAAAATTAGCTAGGCGTGGTGGTGTGCGCCTGTAGTTCCAGCTACTTGGAAGGCTGAGGCAGAAGGATCGTCTGAGCCCAGCAGGTTGAGGCTGGGGTGGCCATCAGCGTGCCACTGCCCTCCAGCCTGGGCGACAGAGTGAGACTCTGGCTCAAAAAAAAAAGAAAATGGCACCTGTTTCCAGTGGCCGAGCCATTTTGAGTCTAAGCAACTGCTTTTCCACTTTGCTCGTGTTTTTCCCAGAAGTGTTTGTTAACATGTAGACACGTCACACAGTATCACGTGCTTAGAAGCATTCAGTTCAAAGATCTTGGTCAGTTAGGCATCTCTTTCTGCCCCTCCTGCCGCCCAGGCACTTCCAAGTGTGTTTTCTTATTAGACCAGGAAACGTTTCAAAGAGGTGGTGCCAGAATGCCAAGTGCTTCTTGGGGTGCTGGAAGGTGAAGGGGTGTCATTTAGTGCATAAACTCTGTTGGCATGTCCTCCTCTTGGCGTTTCACTGACCTGAGCCTAGGGTTTCTTGGCCTTGCACTACTGACAATTTGCCCTGGGTCGTTTTTTGTCCTGGGCATTGGAGGATGTTTCCTGGCATCGCTGGCCTCTACCCACTAGATGGTAGCTGTGCCTGCTTATTTGTGGCCATCAAAAATGTGGCAGTCAACAGGTGCCATGGTTCATGCCTGTAATCCCAGCACTTTGGGAGGCCAAGGCGGGAGGATCACTTGAACCCAGGAGTTTGAGACCAGCCTGGGCAACAGAGTGAGACCTTGTCTCTACAAAAACAAAAATAAAAAAATTAGCCTGGCATGGTGGCGCATGCTTGTAGTCCCGGCTCCTTGGGAGGCTGAGGCAGAAGGTTTGCCCAAGCCCAGGAGGTTGAGGTTACAATGAGCCGTGAGCGTGCCACTGCACTGCAGCCTGGGTGAGAGTACGATCATGACTCAAAAAAAAAAGTAGCAATAAAATATTGCCAAATATCCCACAGAGGGCTTGGCCTTGTTGAGAAACAGTGCCTTAGTCCCTGAGGCTGTCATTACGTTGTGAGCCCACAGTGACTGCCCTGAAGCTTGCTGCAGCTGGGTGTGTTGGCAAACCCTACAGGAGGGGCGTGTGAGTGATTGGAAGGATGGCCTTCCTTCTGGCGAAGTACTCAACCTCTTTTCCAGTTGGCTTGGCAAGTGGGTGGTGAGGGGATTCCAAAACACCCAAGAAAGATACTGAAGAATTAATTGAGGGCCCGGGAGTAGCCATAAAACCTCATGGGCTTTGTGAGTAAGTTAAAGAATAGCCAGGTTTAATTTTTTTCCTGACCGGGAGTAGCCATAAAACCTCATGGACTTTGTGAGTAAGTTAAGGGATAGCCAGTTTTAATTTTTTTCCTGACTTCTAATAGCAGGAAATAGCAGTTAGCTTCTCAACCAAAGCAGTCACAAGATGTGATTCTGTGTCCATTGAGGCTTCCGTAGCCTGGCGGCTTAAAGCAAGTCGGGTGTGGGCCTTGAGAATCTTTCTGCTCTGGTCGTGTCAGCCTGGCTGGGCTGCTCTGGAACCTCAGAGGAGGTAGGATTCCTGCAGTTCAGCTAGAGAGAGCCAAATGTCTGCACAGTGCGGCGGAGGAAGAAAGAGAAGTGTATGCACCGGATAGGGAAGATAGACCATCTGCCCACCTCTTAGGTTTATCTATGGCCTCTGAAAAATGCAGTTATGGTGGGGTTTGGGGTTTGAGCAATTGCAGAGAACAACAGGAGAAACATCTGTTCCATGAGGGTTATGGGAATATTTGGGTACAGGGGGCAGTGTTCCCATGAGGGATATATTTATACCATTCCTTTCTTTCTGGAACAAGATCTTGTCATTGATTGGTTTTATGCCCGTACCTCTTCCATGTCAATCTGTTGCAAATTTTTTCTGCAAGAGGTAGGGGCATAAAACCAGATTGACATGGATCTCTAACTGTGGAATAAGATGAAAATAAAGAAATTCGTGTAAAAGGAAAACGAAGGTAGAAGAGTGAGTGGGTCTGGTGAGAGGTTTTATGCAGAAACATGTCCTATTCCAGGCTAGGCACAGTATCTCACACCTGTAATCCCAGCACTTTGGGAGGCTGGCGTGGGAGGATTGCTTGAGGCCAGGAGACCAACCTGGGCAGCATAACATTACCCCGTCTCAATTAAAAAAAAAAAAAGTACTGTTCCGACTTTTAGAGTTAGTGAAGTTGGCTCTGAGCTTCCCGGTAGTGGAAGCAAAATAGGAAACACGGTTCCTTAGAAGAGCTCATACCTTCCAAAAAATAAAGTGTTCCACTTGGTTAAAAGAAGTAGAGCTCTTCTTTGCAGTGATGGAAATTTCTCCAGGAAGCCACGAGTAGACCATGGACAACTGAGGTGAAGGTCAGCTCCCCAGGGCTTGGGACAGAATGGACTGGTTTTAACTCCTGAGTCCCCTGATGGTGATTTGGGTCTTGAAGAGTCGACTTTGCATCAGGCCGTGCAGAAGAGCCTCTTTTCATTGATGTGCTTTCACTTACGAGTTTATTGAGTGAAGGACATTTGAGAGTCTGCTGTGGTGACCTCCAGCTTCACTTCAGCTAGGAATCTAGCTTAAGGGTAGAATATGAATTCTCAGATGGCGTAACAGCGTCTGTGGCTATTAATCTCAGAACAGAGGCAAAAGGAGCTCACTTAGAGATCTTTGCTGTGCTTACACTGGCACATCAGTCATTTCCATCCTTTGGGCCAGGCCAGTGGCTCACCTCTATTATCTCAGCACTTTGGGGAGACCAAGATGGGGGGATTATTTGAGCCTAGGAGTTTGAGACCAGCCTAGGCAACAGAGTTGAGATCTCCTCCCTACAAAAATCAAAAGATTAGCCAGGTGTGGTGGCACACGCCTGTAATCCCAGCTAGTCAGGAGCTGAGGAGGGAGGATTACCTGAGCCCAGGAGGTTAGGTCTGTGGTGAGCTGTGATGGTGCCACTGCACTGAGCCTGGGCAACAGAGTGAGACCCTGACTCAGAAAAAAAAAGAAAAGAAAATAAAGAAAGAAAGCAAATAGCTGCATGTGGTGGTGTGCACTTGTAGTCCCAGCTGCTTGGGGGACTGAGTCAGGAAGATCTCTTAGGCCTAAGAATTGGAGACTGTAGTGAGCCATGATCGTGCCACTGTACTCTAGCCTGGGTGATAGAGCCAGACTCTGTCACTTAAAAAAATAAATTCCATCTTTCTACCAAGACTGTGTGCTAATTTTTCTCCAAAAGAATGAAAAAAGTCTTCCCTTTATATGCAAAAATGAGCAGTGTCAAATTCTGGAATGAGTGGGTTAATTTCATGGGGCAGCTTCTTGACTGCCAGCCCTTTAAAAAATATATTCAGAACTTTTTATTTGTTTATTTGGCAGTAGCTGACTGATTTATACACTCTTAATTTCTAAGATGAATGACAGCCTATAGCCTCTTTTCTCTCCTTCCACAAACCATCAGAACCCTCAAAAATTAAAATATTGAGCCGGGCTCGGCGGCTCAGCCTGTCATCCCGCGCCTTTGGGAGGCTGAGCTGAGTGGATGGCCTGAGCCCGCGGGCTTGAGACCCGCCTGGGCAGCTTGGCGAGACCTCATCTCCTCAATAAATCAAAAAATGAGCCGGGCGTGGTAGCGCGCGCCTGTAATTCCGGCTCCTCGGAAGGTTGAGGCGGAAGGATTGCCGGAGCCCAGCAGGGGAGGGTGCGGTGGCCAGGAGCGGCCACTGCACTCCATTTTGGGGGACAGAGTGAGACTCCAATTCAAAAAAAAAAAAAAAAAAAAAAAAAAAAATTAAAATATTGGCTGGGCTCTGTGGTTCAGCCTGTAATCCCAGTGCTTTGGGAGGCCGAGGTGAGTGGATTGCCTGAGCCCGTGGGTTTGAGACCCGCCTGGGCAACTTGGCGAGACCTCATTTCTACAGTAAATAAAAAAATAAAATTAAAATATTTTAGCATCCAGATGATAACCGCAAACACTACTTGGGACCTGGACTCTTTTCAGATTGCACACTCCAGGTTTTTATTTGGAAGAGAGAGCCGGCCGTGACCACTGCAGGGCAGTGACCTCTCTGCAGAACTGGCTGTTTGCTCTCGTGAATCAGGAGAGATAAAATGGCTCTTTAATGATGCTGTTTGCCCAGGGAAGAGAACACTATATTTCTTGGTCATGTGGCAGGTAAGGGAAGCATTGAAGACACTCCTGCAGGGTGGAATGCCTGCTAGCTGGCCATACTCTTCTGTGGAAGGGCTCAGTTGGGCACCACCTCTACACCTGGAGGGGGCGGGGCCTGTGTCCAGTGTCTGGCAGGTCATCCTAGAGGGACTGGGGATCTCCACAGCAGGAAGCACCTCTTCCAGCCCCATCCTGGGCTCTTGCCCACTAGCTTGGCTGAACTCTCCAGAGGAGCAGGAGGGCTGACCAGAGGAGACGACCGTTGAGAAAGCCCCCTGAGAACACTCATTTTCCTTGGCTTCTTAAAACCCATAGCTTACTGGAAATCCTCCCTGGAATAAGCAAGCTCACATCTTTTCTGGGTGATACACATCTAAAAAGACAGGCACAACCCTTATTGGAAGGAATTTGAGGCCGGACATTGTGGTTCATGGCTGTAATCCCAGCACTTTAGGAGGCCGAGGCAGGAGGATCACTTGAGGCCAGAAGTTTGAGACCAGCCTGGGCAATAGAGTGAGATCTTTTCTCTACAAACATTGAAAAAAATTAGCCGGGTGTGATGATGCACACCTGTAGTCCCAGCTGCTTGAGAGGCTGAGGTGGAAGGATTGCCTGAGCCCGGGCGGTCAAGGCTGCAGGGAGCTGTGATGTGCCACTACACTCAAGCCCGGGTGACAAAGAGAGACTCCAACTCAAAAACAAAACAGGCAATTTGATGTCAAGAAGCACAGTCTAAGATCGGGGTGCCGCTTTGTACCTAGGGTTGGTGTGTGTTCTACGGGCACCCTCTCTGGAGGGTGAGCTCACCTGACCCATGGCTGGGCCCTCTGCATCCATCACCCACCTACCTTACGAGTGAGCACCACGTGGTCTTCCCCTCCTCCAGGCCATGCTCGGTGCTTCTGACTCTGACCTGCCTTCCAGCGCCTCCTCCCTGCTTGCTCTCACTTGCCAAAAGGCGTTCTGTTCCTAGACACATCTTGGCTAATGCTGTTTCCTCCAGATTCTCTCTTATGCCTGTTGAAATCTACTCGCTTCCCCCTTCCCCACCAGCCCAACTCCTCTAAGAAGGCACACTCCACAGGGCAGTGATTTGTTTCAAACTCGAGTTACTCACATTGTTTCCTCGTTTTTTCCATTCTCAAGTCCTATTTGTATGGTTTTTGACTTAAATCTTTTTATTTAAAGCAACTCAGTCTTTAAACAGTAGTGAAACTCATGTTACTCGGGGCATGGTAGCACACACCTATAGTCCCAGCAACTCCAGAGGCTGAGGTGGGAGGATCGCTTGAGTCTAGGAGTTTGAGTTCAACCCGGGCAACATAGCAAGACCTCGTCTCTTAAAAAATATATACATAAAGTAATTAAATTCTTTTTTTAAAATTTAAAAAGTGGTCTCTCCCCCCCACTGTAATCATTTGCAAGAAGAAACTCGTTTTAGGCTTCAATTTGACCACCACAGAATAGGAAAACTAGTGTTGTACATTATATAGAAGAGATGGAGACAGGGATGGTATTATTGAAATAAAAATGAGAGGTTCTGGCCTTGGGGCAGAATTCCTTTTGGTATTAGGTGTCCGGCTATCATCACCATCTTGAGACTGTCAGGCAGGGAATCAAAGAGCTCAAAAGGCTACTCTTCTTCCTGAGTGACTTGGTGTCATTCAGTGCTTTGGCCATTGAGAAGCCATCTGGTTCTTTCTTTGGGGGTCCCTGGCCTGAGGACGTCTCTCTAGCTTTGGATAAACTTCTCCCGGGTCCTTCTCAAGGCGCTTATCAAATACTGACTTTGGGAAAGGGGTGAGAATTGAGATTCTGTTCACCCACTGCTTCACCCTCTAGTTGGCTGACACCTTGAGGGCAGGGGTTGTGTCTTGTTGGCCCCATCCGCCCCCACCCCCAGGTCCAGATGTGAGCAAGTGTCCGGTCAAGGAGGCCAGTGCTGGGGGCAGAGAAGATGCTCAGAGTGGCCTCAGCCTGTGGCAAGGGGCGGCTCCTCTGCGGCGGGTGTGCGTGGCTCGCCGGGTGCGGTCGGCATTCCTGGCTCACACAGGTTTGCCCCTCAGTTCCCGGCGTCACGACCTTGCAGGCGAACCTGAGTCAAATCCAGTTTTTATTTGTTTTTTTCTCCCTTGCGTTGATCGGCCTTAGTTGTAGGTAAAGCTCCACCGTCCACTACGGCGGGCAGCCAGTCTCCCCCGGAAACGCCGGTGCTCACCCGCTCTTCTGCCCAAACCCCCGCGGCCGGCCTCACGGCCACCAGCAGCACGTCGTCCCCGGTCACGGCCACGGCCCAGGCTGCCACCGCCACCGCCACAGGAAGCCCGGTGAAAAAGCAGAGGCCGCTCTTACCGAAGGAGACTGCCCCGGCAGTGCAGCGGGTCGTGTGGAACTCGCCAAGTAAGTTTCAAACGTCCTCCCAAAAGTGGCACATGCAGAAGATGCAGCGTCAGCAGCAGCAGCAAGGCCAGCAGCAGCAGCCTCCGTCTTCCCAGGGGACGCGATACCAGACCAGGCAGGCTGTGAAAGGTACCGCGCCCCCCCGCTCTCCGTGGTCCCTTTTTGCCACATCGACGGGAGAAAAGCCATCGCTGTTGTGCTGTTTTCGGTTCCTGTTTGTTTCCTGGCCGTCGTGCCCAGAGGGGCTTCCACGTTCCATATGGCATGGTTTTTGACAATTCTTTCGCTCCTTTTTTTTTTTTAACGTCAAAAAAAAATTTTTTTTTTCATTTTTAAATGATACATGCAGACATTCTCCTTAAGAGAGGGAGCACGAGCGTCTGCGTAGAAGTCTGTTGTCCTGTTCACGTTCCATTTCATTCTCCTCCTTGCCATGGGGGCCGCGAGCCGCCATTGTAAACTGTTTTCTATGCATGTATGCACATATATGGATGTAGACATATATGTATGTATGTATATGTTTATGCGTCATATGTAGATATGATGCCATAAAAATACTTTTCCCCCCTTTTTTTCTTTTTAAAACATGAAAATGATACCACACTTGCTTTTACCCCCCAACAGCATGTTTTGGGGGGGTGTCCGTCCATGTGAGCACATACGACTCTGCCTTATTCTTTTGGACTGCTGCATACTATTCCAGAGTTTATTTCAAGCATTCCCCTACTGGTGGGCATTTAAGTTGCTTTCCGTTTTCTCTTACTATAAGCAGTGCTGCAATGAATATCTTCATATAAGTTTCCTTGTGCACACGAGGGAACCTCTTGGAGTTATTTTGGAAAGAATACCGTGTGAGGAGTTGATAACCAAGGTGACCTTCATAACTAGAGGTTTGTCTCACACAAAAGATGAGTCTGCGTCAAGAACCACTTACTGGCTGGACGTGGTGGCTCACACCTGTAATCCCAGTACTTTGGGAGGCCGAGGCAAGAGGATTGCTTGAGCCCAGGAGTTCAAGACCAGCCTGGGCGATGTAGTGAGACCTCGTCTCTACAAAAGATGAGCCGGGTGTGGTGGCACGCACCTGTCATCCCAGTTACTTGGGAGGCTGAAGCGGGAGGATCATCTGAGACCAGGAGGTCGAAGCTGCAGTGAGCCGCGATTGTGCCACTGCACTCCAGCCTGGGTAGCAGAGTGAGACCCCGACTCTAAAAAATAAAAAAACGCTTGATAAAGTAGCAGAATCAAAACTCCCAACAGCCGTGCAGGAGGCGTTGTCTAGAGCTGATGTAAGGTCCAAGTACCAATCTGAGTGGTACCAGTGCACCCAATACTTTTGTGAGCATTGGTGTACAGATAGATCTCATTCCACGGGGGAAGTCTATATCTGGGTCTTCGAAGGTTGGGTTCCTTAATGGAAACTCTGATACTTATACGTGGAGAATTAATTTAAACAAAAAAAGGAAACGCTTATCTGACAGCACCCCAGAGAGTAGAGCAGCGGGATAGAAGGTTGAAAGGTGGGCCCAGTGAAACCCTGTGAAGGTTGGGCATGTAAGCACGCAGCAAAACTGGGTGGCCAAAGTTGGAATGCAGTCGGACTGGCCTTGCTGTTGATGGAGTTGGCGGGGCACAGCTGAGTCTGTGACATTGGAGGCTGGGATGACCATTTCCAGTTCCTGTTCCTCATGAGCAAACCCCATGAGCAGCGTGACCCTTCCCCGGGGGAATTTAAGTGCTGCCAGAGAGGGGCTCGTAGCTTTAGATTCTTACGTCACAGTAAAGCCTAGTTAGGTAATAAGGACAGAGTTAAGTTAGTAATATACCGTTGTTGTAGGGGAGAGAATGCAGTGTGAACTGAAATCAACTTGGTGCAGGGTGACTGGGCATTTTAAAGGGAGAATGAGGGAGTTGGGGGACTCAGGAGAGTCAGCGATATGAAACATCACAGAGAGGTTGTGCACGGTGGTTCACATCTGTAATACCAGTATTTAGGGGGGCCGAGACGGGAGGATTACTTAAGCCCAGGAGTTCGAGTCTAGCCTGGGCAACACAGCAAGACCCCATCTCTAAAAATAAATAAATAAATAAGCTGGCCCATGGTTTTGCCACTGCACTCCAGCCTGGGCAACACAGTGAGATCCCAACAAAAAAAAACCCATAAACATCACAGAAAGTGGGTAAGAGGTTGCTCTCTATTTATGAGGCCCATCTGAGTTTGCTAACGGCCACTTAACGAATAGCTCCTGCTCTCCCATAGAGACTGGAGGCAGGGGCTCTGCCTTCAGGTGTTGCTGGAATACACTGCCCATTCTTTTGCCAGCCTTGTTCCCTCAGGCAGGCACCTTACGTGGGGCTAGGGTCATCCCGCCAAGTGACCTTGACCTCTTGGAAACTGTTAGTGTTTGTTCAAGTCTCGGGTCAAGGTTAGGGCCTAGTCAAGAAGGGTCTCAGAGGAGCTTGCTAGTTGGGTCAAGGAAAGCATCTTTGTCACTTAAAAAGAGAAGCACTCGCATGCCACGTGTTCGGGGCTTCCCTTCTCATCACAGCTTTGTGCTGGGACAAGTCCTTCCCGCCATCATCAGGTGACCAGGGTCCTTTGCTTTCTTAGCTGTCCAGCAGAAGGAGATCACACAGAGCCCGTCCACATCCACCATCACCCTGGTAACCAGCACACAGTCATCACCGCTGGTCACCAGCTCGGGGTCCACGAGCACCCTCGCGTCTTCGGTCAACGCTGACCTGCCCATCGCCACGGCCTCTGCCGACGTCGCCGCAGACATCGCCAAGTACACCAGCAAAGTGAGTGGACCTGTTGCTGTGGCGATGACGGGCACCGGGCAAGATGCTGGAGGAATAGCTTCCTGGTGGGAAGCGTCAGGGCCATGGCTTCATGGGTTACAGGGCGCAGTGGGGTGGGAAGACCCTGTTTTTACCCGATTCTTTCTTTTGGGTCTTCAGGTTGGATCTTAACAGAAATGTTGAACAAACTAAATCTTGCTCTAAGAGGGCTTAGCTCCTCAAGTCAGTACCTAAATGCAAATGACATAGCCTGTCAGAATTCAAGTCCTTCACGAAGGACAGATGATCTGCACGCGCTGGAACAAATGGCTGATCCTTTGGTGAACAGCTGACCAAGGGTCTGATCGCATTCAGAAGCCACAGGAAACAAAAGTGACAGAGGGATACACGTGAGACTGGCAGGGTGAGATGCCCACACCTTGATTTTTCCAGGAACTGAGAGGGACCGGGGTCTGGTGGACACCCCTATCTCGCCCACGCTCTGGGGTACAGGCCTTGGGGAGTGACAGGGTGGGCAGGGTTGCCCACTGCGTGTGAACTCGCGGGCAACCTCTCAACACAGATCTTTCTTTTTCTCTCTTAATTTACCAAGTGCTTTTATGACATTGTTGAACTCGGGTAAATAAAATTTGCAGTTATGCTTGTGATCCTGTGAGAGTGCTCTGGAGTGATGTGCCCTGTCACTGTATTGACAGATAATTTAGCCGTAGACCCCTTGGTAGACCCCAGATAATTTAGCCGTAGACACCAGATGTCGGTTCCAGAAGGCAGGGATTTTGGGGTCTATTTTGTTTATTGCCATCCAGAACAGTGCTTGGCATACAGTAAGGGCTTGATACACGGTTGCGCTTTCTCCTCATTGACCTCGTTGTTACGGTCAATAACTGAATGTCGACCAGGTGCCGTGGGGCACCTCTGCAATCTCAGCACTTTGGGAGGCGGAGGCGAGAGGATCACTTGAGCCCAGGAGTTTGAGACCAGCTTAGGCAAGGCAAGACGTTGTCTCTACAAAAAAAATTTTTAAAAATTAGCCAGACATGGTGGCGTGGGCCTGTAGTCCCAACTACTCAGATAACTTAGCAGTAGACCCCGACTACTCGGGAGACTGAAGCACGGGGATCCTCTAGGAGGAACTCAGAAGGTCACAGTCCTGATCGTGCCACTGCATTCCAGCCTAGGCATTGGAGGGAGACCCCGACTCAAACAAATCAAAGCAAAACCCTGAATGTGACTAATGAGTAACGATCTAAGATGATTTAGTAAATCACTAAGTAGGTAAAAATAACTTATTCTTTACTAATGAGTACATTACTGATCAGTTACTAATAAGTGAACTGTTTATGTTTTTAGAGAGAATGGATGAGAATAGTTGAATAGTTGTTTCTAGAGTTCTTAACGTCTCACAGTAAGAGTTGCTGTATTGTATTGAATTAAAGGTAGAATCTTTTTTAGTTCTGAATAGTGAGAGAAGTGCAGTTTTTTTCTAAACGGAGTTTTCGTTGGTTGTTTTCTTTTTATTCCTTCTCTTTAGGTGTGATTTTTATCTGTTGCTGCAGAACAAATCACTCACCAACAATGCACACGTTTATTATCTTATGGTTTCTGTGGGTCAGCAGTCTGGGCCCCACTCAGCGGGGTCATCTGTGTCAAGATTTCTTCCAGGGTGCAGTCCAGGTGGCTGCTAGGGTCAGGGTCCCATAAGGAGGCCGGATTAGGAGAGAGTCCACTTTCAAGGTCACTTAGGTGGTGATGGGCAGGATTCCTCATAGGGCTATGGGTCATCTGTCTGTGATGTGCCTGGTCTGTTTCATTTGTTCATTCATTTATTTTGAGTCAGGGTCTCACTATCATCCAGGCTGGAGTCATAGCTCGTGTGTCATAGCTCATGGCATTGTCGTAGCTCACCATAGCCTTAACCTCCTGGGCTCAGGCAGTCCGTCTACCTCAGCCTTCCTAGTAGCTGGGATTTTGATTTTTTGTAGAAATGAGGTCTCACTATGTTGCCCAGGCTGGTCTTGAACTCCTGGACTCAAGTAAGCCTTCTGCCTCAGTCTTCCAAAGTGCTGGGACTATAAGCGTGAGCCACCATACCCAGCTTAATTTTTTACTTGAATTTTTTGTAGAGATGGGGTCTCGCTACATTGCCCAGGCTGGCCTTGAGCTCCTGGGTGCTAGTGATCCTCCTGCCTCAACTTCCTGTGTTACAGGTGTGAGCCACCTTGACTCTTACAGCAAAACTGAGGAATGATCTCTTTGATAAGTGTTTTCTTTGCAGTTAAAAAAAAATGAGCATGGTGACTTTCTAGGGGGGGGGGTGCTGATAGACTTTCCTGTCTCTGAGGTGACCTGGAGTTGAATTGACCCAGATTTGTGTGTTTTGGCAGAAGAGTGCTCTCTATTAATGTTGAGTTCTTTCCTATATTTGGAAGTGAGTGAACGTCAGTCCACACATTTCATGATAGCTTTAAAATGGAATGTCACCGTTGCATTAATGAAGTATTGAATGTCATCCGCTTTCTGGGGTTTTCTTGTAAGGCTATTGAGCTTTAATTTTATAAGCTGACGTGGTTGGTGCCATAGACAAGGCAGCTCTGGGGGCCAGTCGCAGTGCCACCTGCAGCATGGGTGTTCTTGCCGTCAGCCTGGTGTGACCTACAGCAAGCTGAGAGTGGAAGTTTTCAGATATTTTATTCACCTTACTCCCATTTTGGGGTGAATTAGGGTTGGCCGCAGTAATGCAATTGATGCTCATGTGAATTTTCTTCACGTAAACTGGTGTTTCTTTTTTCTGGGGGGGGGTTTGGAGTCTCACTTTGTCGCCCAGGCTGGAGTGCAGTGGCACACTCATGGCCACCGTAGCCTCGACCTGCTGGTCTCAGGTGATCCTTCCACCTCAGTCTTCCAAGTAGCTGGAAGTCTGCCACCATGCCCAGTTAATTTTTCGATTTATAGTAGAGATGAGGTCTCGCCATGTTGCCTAGGCTGGTCTCGAACTCCTGGGCTCAAACAGTCCTCTTGCCTCCACCTCCTAAAGTGCTGGGATTATAGGCATGAGCCACTGTGCCTGGCAACTGGTATTTCTTTCTTTTTTTTTTTTGAGTTGGAGTCTCACTCTGTTGCCCAGGCTGGAGTGCAGTGGCCACTCCTGGCCACTGCAGCCTCGACCTGCTGGGCTCCGGCGATCCTTCCGACTCAGCCTTCCAAGTAGCTGGAACTACAGGCGTGTGCTACCACGCCTGGCTAATTTTTGGTTTATTGTAGAGATGAGGTCTCGCCAAGTTGCCTAGGCGGGTCTCGAAACCGCGGGCTCAGGCAATTTACTCACCTCGGCCACCCAAAGCGTGGGATTACAGGCTGAGCCACAGAGCCTGGCCAGTACTTCTTATAATACCTCTCACCATGGCAAGGATGAAGCATCTTCACCTGGTTTTCATGTGTACCCCTGTGAACTCCCTGCCAGGGCACTGTGGTCATCCTTGTGCTTTACATGGGGGAAACTGAGGCTCAGTGAGCATGTGGATGGTAAGACGTCACGTACGAGTTGCCTCCCCCACCCCCCATGAAGCATCTGGAACACTCAGGAGACTCAGCGGTGGTCAGGCCAGGTCAGAGACCAAGCCTGGTGTCCTGTCCCCTCCTTTTTCTGCTGTGACTTGGGAGGGGTAAGCTGGTAGGTGGAGGCAGATGAGATTTATCTTCTACTCACATTTGGTCAGCAGATACCTAGGTGCCTGCTGCATGAACTGCAGCTGATTTGGTGAACTTTCTGATGCCTTGAGGGGTCAGGAAGTTAAGGAGAAAGAAGATGGGAGGTAATGACAAAGGCAGCCCTGACTGAAGGCATGAAAGCAGCACCAGGCTGGGGGCAGTAGCTCACACCCGCAATCCCAACACTCCAGGAGGCCGAGGCGGGAGGATGGCTTGAGCCCAGGAGTTTGAGACCAGCCTGGGCAACATAGTGAGACCTCATCTCTACAGAAAATAAAAAAATTAGCTGGACGTGGTGGTGTGTAATTGTAGTCCCAGCTACCGGGGAGACCCAGGCTGGAGGATCACCTGAGCCCAGGAGGTCAAGGTTTCGGTGAGCTGTGACCGTAGCAGTGTACTCTGGCCTGGGCAACAGAGTGGAGACCCTGACTCAAACTGAATGAGAGTGAATGAATGAATGGATGAATGTATGAGACAGACCAGGCACATCCACACAGTGGACTATAAAAACGGAAGGGAGTTCTGTCACTTGCTGCATACAACAGGCGGCCCCTTGAAGCCAGTCACAGAGGACCTTGTACTGTATAATTCTACTTATATGAAATGTCCAGATTAAGCAGATCCACAGAGACAGAAAGCAATGAGTGGTTATCAGGGACTGCAGGGAGGAGGAGGGAGTGGGTGATATTGGGTGGGGGTGAAGATAATGGGGTGGGACTTTTTTGGGGGGGGTAACAAAAATGTTCTGACATTGATTGTGGTAGTAAACGCATGACTCTGAATACTTGAAGTGGGTGAATTGGATGGTGTATGCATTGTGTCTCAACAAAAAGGTGAATTTTTTTTTTAATGGGGAAAGACTCAAACAACAATAACAAAACAATCCTTTTCTCAAAACTACTATGCTGGCCACACAAAACATACCTGGGGCCAAATTTGACCTCTCTAGTTTCCACCTGAGACAAGGAATTTGTCCGGGGTTCCTTCCCTCATTCAACAGGGCTTCTCAGCCTTAGCACTAGTGACATTTGGGGCTGGGTTCATTCTTGTTTCGGCTGTCTACGCGTGGCAGGATGGTTAGAGCACCCTGGCATCCGCCTCTTTCCTGCTGGCAGCTGCCCCCTCCCCAATCCTGAAGCAGCCACAACAACCAGAGATGGCCAATGTCTCATGAGGGACAGAATTGTCCTGAGTCGAGATCCGCTGCTTTATACAGATAGATTTTTAGGTGTGTCACCTAGAAAAGCCTCAGAGAAGTGATCACGGAATTGTTTCTGTTTTTATCTTTCAGATGATGGATGCGATAAAAGGAACGATGACAGAAATATATAATGATCTTTCTAAAAACACTACTGGAAGCACAATAGCCGAGGTCAGAGATGACACATGAATTCTTTATTTGCTGAGAGTGTTTTATGGGCTGCTTTACCGTGGCATTGTGAAGAAGCGTCTCTGGAAATCCCTCTTGGGTGCTGACTCCAGTCACCAAGCTGACTTTGCTGTTGTGATTGTTGATGGGGGTGTTTCTTCCTCTGGCCAGATGGCTGGGGCTGTGGAGACATGCTTGCTTCATGTGATAAATTCACTTCTAAAAAAAAACAGCCAAAACCAGAGCCTGAGTTAACTTACTGGTGAAACTAGAAACCAGTTCCTTTTGCTTCATTTAAAACTGGCTCCTTGGCCTGGAATGGTGGCTTAACGCTTGTAAACTAAGCATTATAGGAGGCCAAGGTGAAAAGATTGCCTGAGCCTTGGAGTTCAAGACCAGCCTGGACAACATGGCAGAACCTTTTCTCTACAATAAAAAAAAAAAAAAAATTAGCCAGGCATGGTGGCGCATACCTGTATTCCCAGCTATTTGGAAGGCTGAGGCAGAAGGATCACCTGAGCCCAGCAGGTCGAGGCTGTGGTAGCCATGACTGTGCCACTGCACTGCAGCCTGGGCAACAGAGTGAGACTCCAACTCAAAAATAAATAAATAGGCTGGGCTTGGTGGCCCAACCTGTAATCCCAGCACTCTGGGAGCCCGTGGGTTCGAGACCAGCCCGGGCAACTTGGCAAGACCTCGTCTCTACGATAAATAAAAAATTAGCCAGGTGTGGTAGTGCACGCCTATAGTTTCGGCTACTTGCAAGTCTGAGGCGGAAGGATCGCCAGAGCCCAACTGGTCGACGCTGGGGTAGCCATGAGCGTGCCATTGCACTCCAGTCTGGGTGATGGAATGAGACTCCAACTAAAAAAATAAATAAAATAAACAAATAAATAAATAAATAAATAAAATAAGATTGGTTTCTTCCAGGCTTCTGTGAAATCACCTGGAGTCTCTGTCAGTTCAGGGAATTGAAAATGTCCGTGCTGGGTGTGGTGGATTAAGTGCCTGTAATCCCAGCACTTTGGAAGGTCGAGGTGGAAGGATTGCTTGAGCCCAAGAGTTTGAGACTAGCCAGGGCAACATAGTATGAACATAAAGGTCTAAGAGAAGCTCCGAGAAAAAGCTCCTTGGACAGTTTTGCAAATGTAGCCCTCTCTGTGATCATGCTGGGGCATCAAGCAAGAAGTGAAGAGCCCTGCTGTGCGAGCACCTCACTCTTTTTTGTGTATCTTAAGAATTGGTGTGGGGGAAAATACGGGTCTTTGGTGTCTCACCTGAGGCCTCGGGTCCTGTTGTGTGTCAGAATTTTTTAGGTCTTAGAGAAGTAATATGCAGTCCCCCACAAGTAGAGACAACCTTTCTTCAATGCAATGTGGTTGTTCGTACTACGTGGATAAGCCAGATTTTCTCGGCCTCGGCACTACTGACATTTGCATTGGCTGATTCTCTGTTGAGGCTGTTCTGTGCATGGTAGGCTGTTCAGCCCCATCTGTGGCCCCTGCTCACCAGATTCCACGAACACACCCCAAGGGTGACCACCAAAATGACTCCAGATACTGTTATGATGGGGGTTGGAGGGACAGGCCCAATCGCTCCAAGTTGAGAATCACTGGGATGGTTGAACACGGTTTAAATCGCCCCCAGCAGTTCAGATCAAGTTCACTTTTCCCTCTTCCAAGCGAGTTTGGCCCCGAGCTTACCCTTCCCTCCCCCAAAATACTCTTTGGCTTCAGAGATGTCAGGCTTTGGAGTTTCAGGTGAGTAATTACAGGCCCTACTGCTAAATGTTATTAGGTAAGAGATACAAAGCAGCAATCTTTGTTTTTCATGTTTTTTTTTTTTAAGACCAAAGTCCTAATCAGACTTTTTCTGTATTACTTATATGAAAGTCACTTTAAATGACTTTTCCTTGTGCCAGTATTTCTTAGAAATGTCGGCCAGCTTGTACTTGGCTTTCTGAACCTGTGTTTCTTGTGAACTTGGGTCACCCGCTGGCGCCCACCTCTCTGAACTGTTGCTGTGAGGAGGTCAGCACAGAGCTAGGCCACCTGCCTCCTGAACACCTGTAACCCTAGAGCCAGCAGCATTCATACTTCTAAGCTCTGCTGGGGAAGGAACTCGGACAGATATTTAAGACCCTGATTCTCCCTCCTTCTAGATTCGCAGGCTGCGGATTGAGATCGAGAAGCTTCAGTGGCTGCACCAGCAAGAACTTTCCGAAATGAAACACAACTTGGGTAAGGCCTGGTGGACTGATCTGGATGCGGAGGGTGTTGGATGTGAACTCTTTTGCACTGTGGTGTCAGGCCCAGACACGAAGGCAGCTAAAACCAGGCTGGGGCCGTACAGCTTGTGGGCAAACACAGAATCCTGGAGGGTCTAGCATGGCGAATCCAGGGATAAGGGCAGGTGTTGGTGGGAGCCCCTTAACTCTCTTCAGAACCCCAATATCAACAGTGAAATAAAGGCGAGCATGGATGCGGCTTCTGCCACGGACCTTCTCACCTTGTGCCAGGAGTTAATGAGTTCAGTTCCTATAGCAACTCTCACAGTAAAGGGTTCTGTTATATCCCCAGTTTTCTTTCTTTCTTTTTTTTTTTTGAGTTGGAGTCTCACTCGGTCGCCTAGACTGGAGTGCAGTGGCCGCTCCCGGCCACTGCAGCCTCGCCTGCTGGGCTCCGGCGATCCTTCTGCCTCAGCCTTCTGAGTAGCCAGAATTACAGGCATGCGCTACCACGCCCAGCTGATTTTTTGATTTATTGTAGAGATGAGGTCTTGCTGCCCAGGTGGGTTTCGAACCCACAGGCTCAGGCAATCCACTCACCTCAGCCTCCCAAAGGCGCGGGATTACAGGCTGAGCCACCGAGCCCGGCTTATCCCCAGTTTTCAAGTGAGGAAACTGAGGCACAGGCATGTTAAGAAAGTTGCTCAAAGTCACAGCCACGTTTCAGGTATAGCTCTCTGGCTCCACACTTGCGCTGTTAAGCATCAAATGTTGGGTATTTTAGCAAATATCTGGACCCTTCCTGTGTGCTGCACATGGTGGAGAAAGATAGTTCATTGGTCCTTGGATTTGATAGACTGAGACTTCAGCCTACCGCTCATTATAGATATTATTAAAGGCTTTTTTGGCTGGGTGCGGTGGTTCACGCCTGTAATCCTAGCACTTGGGAGGGTGAGGTGAGAGGATTGCCTGAGCCCACGGGTTTGAGGCCAGCCTGGGCAACTTGGCAAGACCTCATCTCTACAATAAAGCAAGAAAAATTTCTGGTCATGGTGACTTGAGCATGTAGTTGCAGCTACTTGGAAGGCTGAGTCGGAAGGATTGCCTGAGTCCACTGGGTCGAGGCTGTGGTGGCTGTGAGCATACCATTGCCCTCCAGCCTGGGCAACAGAGACGCCAACTCAAAAAAATAAAAAAAAATAAAGACTTTTTCTTCAGCTGTAGAAACAACTGCCCCGACTTCTATGATGTATCAGCAGGATACTGGAGGCCAGTGGAGCTCGGTGGCTAGAGAGACATGCTCAGCTATACCCCCTGCTCACTGTGGTCTGTGTGCAAATCGCACCTTACAGACTTGAGTCCTCAGGGAGCCACCCAGAATGATTCCTCTGTTCCTCACCTTGCTGCCACTCAGGAAGCTTATTTGGGCTGTTATTACTTCTTCCTGATTTTCTAATAAAGTCAGAGAATCTTATTTTTGTAAGATCCTCCCTTTGTTTTTTGAGTCAAGGTCTCTGTGACCCAGGCTGGAGCACAGTGACATAGTCATAGCTCACTGCAACCTTGAACTCCTCGACTCAAGTGTTCCTCCTGCTTCAGCCTCCCAAGTAACTGGGATTGCAGGTGTACACCACCGTGCCCAGCTAGATCTTCCCCTTTTTATTTTTATTTATTTATTTTTGAAAGCAGGATTAATTGAGAGGACAGAAAAGCTCCCACAGTGGGAGGGGACCTGAGGGGGTTGCCCGATCTTCCCCTTTTTAAATGTTGGTTACACATTGGAAAAAGTCACATGTGGGCTGGCCACAACTTGACCATGGTATGCAGGTTCTTAGTTAAAGGCAGTTGGGTGGACTCAGAAGTTCTACCTGGCAGCAAGTCTTTTCTTGTCTTCTTTCCAAGTCTCTAATTTTCATTGCTGGACTTTTTTTAAGCTCAGGAAGGGTATTTGTAGGACCATTTATTTTTCTTCTATTTCAGTATGCAACTCACTCCCAAATGAGTTGCAAATGGACTCCCTCTCAAAGTCAAGGGAGAGAACTGTCTGTAGACTGAGAAGTTTGATAGTTGTCCTGGTAGTATCATCATCAGTTCCAGTGCTCCATCTGGTAGGGTTGATCCAATACTACTAGACATGCCCGCAGGAAAGTGCATCTGAGTTCTAGGCTCAGCTCTGCCCTTGCTAGCTGTGTGCCTCAGTTTTATCATCTGTGAAAGGCATAGAACAGTAGTACTTATCCCATAGGATTGTTATTACATGGATCACAAGAGTTAATTTTTTTTTTTTTGAGTTGGAGTCTCCCTCTTTGTTGCCCAGGCTAGAGTGCAGTGGCATGCTCACGGCTACTGGTGGGCTTAGGCGATCCTTCTGCCTCAGCCTTCCAAGTAGCTGGAACTACAGACGCATGCCACCATTCCTGGCTAGTTTTTTGTGATTTATTGTAGAGACAAGGTCTCACCAAGTTGTCCAGGCTGGTCTCGAACTCCCGGGCTCGGGCAATCCTCTCACCTTGGCCTTCCAACGAGCTGGGATTATAGGCTGAGCCACCATGCCCCGGCCAAGTTAATGTTTATAAGATACTTAGAACAGCACCTGCATATAGTAGGTGCTGTATGAGCATTTGGTTAATAGAAACAAGAGGCTTGGCCGGGTGTGGTAGCTTATGCCTATCATCCCAGCACTTTGGGAGGCCGAGGTGAGAGGATTGCCTGAGCCCATGAGTTCAAGACCAGCCTGGGCGACTTGGTGAGACTTCATCTCTACAATTAAAAAAAAAAAAAAATAGCCAGGTGTGGTGGCGCATTCCTGTAGTTCCAGCTACTTGGAAGGCTGAGGCGGAAGGATCACCTGAACCCAGCAGGTCGAGGCTGTGGTGGCTGTGAGCACGCCACCGTACTATACAGCCTGGGCACCAGAGTGAGACTCCAACTCAAAAACAAAAACAACAGCAAAAAAAAAAAAACGAGGCTTGTACTCATGGTGGAATGGAAAGTGAGTTTTCTTGGCAGTTGTTGGAAGGTTTATTTGAGGATATCCCAGAGCATGGTCTAGGGTGGAGGATCACAGTGCTCATGCTGGGTACTTCATGCCATTATCACAAACAGCAGTATCTGGTCACTACAATGAATGCCCTGTTGACAGGTGAAGACACAGCTGGGTGCTTGCCAGGGGTCCCACTGCCAGGACTTCTTTGCGCCCCGGGACTCATACCTACGTCTTGCCTGAGTGTAAGGCCATGAGCACCCTGTGGTCCCGGGCTGGGGCCTGCTGACGCAAGAGTGTCCTCTCCCCTCGTCCTGCAGAGCTGACCATGGCGGAGATGAGGCAGAGCCTGGAGCAGGAGCGGGACCGGCTCATTGCTGAGGTGAAGAAGCAACTAGAGCTGGAGAAGCAGCAGGCGGTGGACGAGACCAAGAAGAAGCAGTGGTGCGCCAACTGCAAGAAGGAGGCCATCTTCTACTGCTGCTGGAACACCAGCTACTGTGACTACCCGTGCCAGCAGGCCCACTGGCCTGAGCACATGAAGTCCTGCACCCAGTCAGGTAACTCCCCAGGGAACCGCCTCCTGTCTGGGCTGCAGTAGGCGGGTGCTCTGCCCACGTGGTGAGGGTTGCTTGCTTGGCTCCTGGCCATTCTCACTTGGACACAGCTGTGTCTCTAGCACACAAGAGAGTAGTGTGCAGACACGTGGCTAAGATAGGCGTTTCGAGCCTCTGACCTGCTTTGCAGAACCTTTGACCTCCTTTCAGGCCAGGAAGACTCCTAAATACAGTACGTTGCACAGGGTAGATCCACCTGTACCTCCAACACAGAGCACGAACCGGCCTGAGATGTCAATCGCACTGAAGTCGCAAAACTCATCTTTTTTTGTCAGTGCTAGACTCAGGGCTTTAAATAATACAGATTCCCAAACGTGTTGGTTGGAGCAGTTGTGTCGCTGATATCACTGTAATATTTGTATTCTCCCTACCTCACACCTGGAGCACCCAGCAAGAAACACCATCTACATAGAATTTTTCTTTTTCCTTTTTTTTGAGTTGGAGTCTCATTCCGTTGCCCAGATTGGAGTGCAGTGGCATGCTCCTGGCTACTGCAGCTTCTACTTGCTGGGTTCTGGCGATCCTTCTGCCTCAGCCTTCCAGATAGCTGGAACTACAGGCGCGCGCTACCTCGCCTGGCTAAGCTTTGATTTATTGTAGAGATGAGGTCTCGCCAAGTTGCCCAGGCAGGTCTCACACCTGTGGGCTCAGGCAGTCCTCTCACCTCGGCCTCCCAAAGCACTGGGATTATAGGCTGAGCCACTGAACCCGGCCAGAATTTTTCAATGATACTTTAAAAGTTATGTTTGACAATTAGCTTTTATCTATGACAAATGATACCAGCTTTATATGTTTGGAATTAAAAGTCTCCATTTGAAAGAATTTCAAGTGTTACAGACATAATACAACAAGGTAGGTCCATGGATTGCAAGATTTGGAAGGTGGTGTATGAATGACTCTGGTTTAAGCTCTATACCGGAAGTTGTCAAACCTTTTCTGTGATGGCCCGAGGGAATATTTTAGGCTTTGTGGACCATGTGGCCTCAGTGACGCTCCTCAGCTCTGCTGTTGGAGTGCAAAAGCAGCCATAGATAGTATGTATGTACATGGCTTGGTGTGGTTTTATTTATAAAACCAGGCGGTACTAGTTTGCAAACTCCTGATCTTGACACATCTGATATTTTGTTATTTTCTCAAGGCAATATTGGAGCATACCTTGCTGTATTCTTTAACTTTCTTTAAGAGAGAGATGTCTTCTTTAGAGAGACTTTAAATCTCTTACTACAGTTGAAGTTAAATTTTAAATTCCCTTTCTGTTTTCCCTAAGTTCTGGAATGTGTCTGATGAGGCTTTTGCTGTTATTGCAAGATGGCCAAAATGTTTTTCAGCTTTCCTTTCTCTGTGGCATAATTACGCCTGTCCTTAAATTCCTCTCCAGCGCCCTGTTTTTCTGTGGGCCCAAGTTTCTCCCATCTCCAGATGCTCTGGGTCTCTGACGCACGTGGCTCTTCCCCCAGATTCCCCACCCTGCCTCAGAAGGAAGCAGGTCCCTGGGGCTAAAATAAGGCTGTACCTAGACATTATGAAATCGGCGAATTCTATTTTTTAAAAATAGATTTGGGGGGTACAAGTGCAGTTCTGTTATGTTGACATATAGCATAGTGGTGAAATCTGGGCTTTCAGGCAACCATCGACCCAAACAGTGTATCTTGGACAATAGGTAATTTCTCATCCCTGGACCCCCTCCCACCTTCCTGAGTTTTCATTGTTTTGTTTTTGGTTTTTTTTGAGTCGGAGTCTTATTCTGGCGCCCAGACTGGAGTGCAGTGGCACGCTCATGGCTGCCACAGCCTCGACCTGCTGTGCTCAGGCGGTCCTTCCGTCTCAGCTTTTTAAGTTGCTAGAACTACAGGCGCATACCACCATGCCTGGCTAATTCTTTTATTCATTGTAGAGACGAGGTCTTGCCAGATTTCCCAGGTTGGTCTTGAACCCATGGGCTCAGGCAGTCCTCCTGCCTTGGTCTCCCAAAGTGCTGGGATGATAGGTGTGAGACATTGCACCTGATCTGCAGGAATTTTTTTAATCTAATGATCTCTTTACTGGGTAGATACCCAGTAGTGGGATTGCTGGGTGAATGGTAGTTCCATTTTTAGTTCTTTGAGAAGTGTCCATACTGGTTTCCACAGAGGTGGTGCTAGTTCACATTCCCATCAACAGAGCATAAACTATTCCATTTTCTCTGCTCCCTTCTCAACATCTGCTGCTGTTTTGACTTGTTAATAACAGCCATTCTGCCTGGTGTAAGATGGTGTTACATTGTGATTTTAATTTGTATTTCTGTGATAATAAGTGATGCTGAACATTTCTTTCATGTGTTTGTTGGCTGCTTATGTATCTTCTTTTGAAAAATGTCTGTTCATGTCCTTTGCCCACTCTTTAATGGGGCTATTCTTTTTCTTCCTTCCTCCCACAACTCTCCTTCTCTCTCTCCCTTCTCCCCTCCCTTCCTCCCCTCTCTCTCTCTTCTTTCCTTTCCTTTCCTTCCTTTTTTTTGTTGGAGTCTCACTCTGTCTCCCAGGCTGGAGTGCATTCGCATGCTCAGGGCCACTGCAGCCTCGACCTCTGGACTCAGGCAATCCTTCCACCTCAGCCTTCCAAGTAGCTGGAAACACAGGTGCATGCCACCATGCCCTGCTAATATTTTGATTTATTGGAGAGACAAGATCTTGCCAAGTTGCCCAGGCTGGTCTTGAACCCCTGAGCTCAGGCAGTCTTCTTGCCTCTGCTTCTCAAAGTGCTGGGATGACAGCCGTGAGCCACCATGCCTGGGGTTGTTTTTGTTGTCAAGTTGTTTGAGTTCCTTTTAGATTCTGGATATTAGTCCTTTGTTGGATGCATAATTTGCAAGTATTTTCTCCCATTCTGTAGGCTGTCTGTTTTATACAGAGGAATTCTGAGTCATTAGCTGCAGGTTTGTTCTTGTTGGGCTTCAGTTGTTCTGAGAACACGCATTCATCTCCAGAATGACTTAATAAAATGTGAACTGCTGACTATTAAAAGTGGACATTTTCACATACAATTTGGGATTCCAGCTTCTGGAAGACTCTGGAGATCTGGTCACCTTGGATGGGGCCGAGCCACCCAGCTGCCTTACTCTGGCTGCCTCAGAGTGGCTACTGAGCCAGTGGTACACGCCACCAGGTGCGGGCGGGGCTTCTCGTAGGGCCCTCAACTGGCATGCTGGGCTTACGCGTGGATTGTCTCCTCTCTTCCTTTCCAGCCACCGCTCCTCAGCAGGAAGCAGACGCTGAGGTGAACACGGAAACACTAAACAAGTCATCCCAGGGGAGTTCCTCCAGCACACAGTCAGCGCCTTCTGACACTGCCAGCGCCTCGAAAGAGAAGGAGACGTCGGCTGAGAAAAGCAAGGACAGTGGCTCGGTGAGGACCCACTCACGCCTTGGGTCAGGGACACCAGCCCTTTGTGCCAAGCAGACTTGTAACTCTTGTCCATGTCGGCCACCCTGAGAGGTCCTTGTTGGAGGGGGTTTGTCTTGGGGGAGGAGGGATGACAGAATCTTCCTAGGCTCTGTCTTACCTGTGTTCCAGGATTTCTAGTGGACATGGCGCCCGAGTCAGCACAACGGGGGATTGGCACCTGCTCCCCAGTTCTCTTCCTCTGGCCCCCAAGGTTTAGAAAGTGCTGCCTAGGAGAACTTTCTGCTGTGATGGAAAAGTCTACATCTCCCCGGTCCAATATGGTAGCCACTAGCCATGGGTAACTTTTGAACCCTTGAAGTCTGGCTAGTGTGAGTGAGGACCTATTGTTTAAATTTTATATTATTCTAATTAATGTAGAACAGTCACCATGCACGGCCAGTGGTTGTCACATTGAACCCCAGAGGTCACATCTCCTTGTTCCTCAGTGTGTGGTAGATGTGACATCGAGTATATGCAAAGACCATTTTAGGGGCACATTCATAGTCTTTTACGTTTTTAGCCATTGTGCATTTCAGTGCATATTAGAAAAAAAATTATTAGACTATCAGTTAAGGCCAGGTGCAGTGGCTCATGCCTATAATCCCAGCACTTTGGGAGGCCAAGGTGGGATCACTTGAGCCCAGGAGTTCAAGACCAGCCCAGGCAATAAGTGAAACCTCATCTCTACAAAAAATAAAAAAATTAGGCATGTATGGTGGCACTTACCTCTAGTCCCAGCTACTTGGGAGGTTGAGGTGGAAGGATTGCCTGAGCCCAGGAGGTCAGGGTTGCAGTGAGCCATGATTGCAAGACTGCAGCTTATTCCTAGTCAGAGGCTAGCATGAAATAAAAGTGAATTCATATCATTTTGAGTAATATATTTCTTCCTGGAAATGGCATAAATATGGAAGGTGGGTGGTTTTACGGGTGGAGTTTAGGAATCAGCAAATGATCTGGAGTTCTAGGGCAGAGTAAGAGACCACCCTGGTGCTGTGCATGTTTGGTGTGGGAGACAGCACGAGATATGTGGCCACTTGGCACCTGGACCCTCCACCCTGCCTGACCGCATCAGACAGAGGTCACCGAAAGCCTTGGGAGCCGCGATGAGCATGCCCTTGACTCCCTGGGTTTCTCTGGGGGGTTCCGTTGGCCCCAGTGCCCTGAGTCCCTCTTTTTCTTGTCTTTCTAGACCCTCGACCTTTCTGGCTCCAGAGAGACACCTTCCTCCATTCTCTTAGGCTCCAACCAAGGCTCTGGTATGTTGCCTCCTGGTGGGCGAATGGTGCCTTCACGTTTTATACATGGGCAGATGAGAAGCCATTTTGTCGGGGAGAGCTTGAGGGTCCGTGGCTGTGGTTTTCAGCCATTCTAGATTATTGGGGGTGCCTTGGCAGGGTCAGTGGCGGGCAGGGGTTGGGGGTGTAGCTGGGCAAGTTAGCTTTTGGCACCTCTCTGGACCGATCAGCATTTATCCATATGTGCTGTGTTTATGGGGGATCCACATAACAATTCCATTGGGACAGAGGGTTCTCCTGGCCTGGGGTGGAAGGCGCACGTGTGCATTGGGCTGTCCTTCTGCCCTCATGTGAGTGCAGCCCAAAACCCAGAAACTGTGCAAAACTTGACTTGGAGGATGAGGGCTCTTGAGCCCTTGAGAAATGAAGACAGTGCCTAGGTGGGCAATCTTGTTAAATCTTTCTCTCTTGGGGAATAACCAGCTTTCTGCAGGCAGATTGGGGGGATTGTCTGAGACTTGACTTCTGGAGTTTTCCTTCTGAGGGGGCTTTGAGCTGTCTTCTTTTCCAAGCCCAAGGTGTCCCTTTCCTGCACTCCTAAACCTCTCTTGGGTCATTCTAGAAGGGTTCAGAAAAGGTCCCTTCCTTGCAGAGGATAGTCTTGCTTCATTCAAGATTTTGCCTGGCACTGCGGCTCCAGGACCTTTCTGCCCGATGATTCTCTTAAGCTGATAACCAGAAATGTAATTTCAGGTCTGCATGTTGAGTGCCTGGAGGAAGACGTGGTGTCCGTGGTTAGGATGGCTGGGGAAGGTTTTCCTGAGGGACTGGTCCTTGAATGGCTTTAGGGAGGATGTGAACTTGGCATTGATTGGGATGGAGCCACTGGTTACAAAATTCTCTCCCCTTTCACTCCCCTTCAGTCCTTGGATTAAATCTCTCAGAACAGGCTCAGTATGGTGATCCGATGTCTGGAGCATCTCTTAGAAGAGCTGATGGTACTTCCTGAAGCACCCATGTACCTCATCACGTTTACTCCCAACCACTATGAAAGAAGAGTTGCTATGTTCATTATACGAGGGGGGACCCAAAAGAAACCAGAATTCTCTTCTGGAGGGCAGGTCCCTTGTAGTACAGGCTTCCCCCGCTAGGTAAATGTTCTAGGAACCCATCAGTATCAGTTACCAACTAGTGTTGTTGTGAGATGTTGGCATGGCAGGAGAAACATCCCAAGTTGTGGCAAACAGGTGACTGGTTCTTCCACCACAACGCACCTTGCCACGCCACGTTGAGTGTTCAGCAGTTTTTGACCCAAATGGCATGACTCCTGTTCCCCACACTCCTTATTCACCTTGTCTTGTCCCAGATGAAAAAGTTTTCAAAGGGAAACGTTTTGCTGATGTGGGAGAGATGAAACAAAAAAATGGCAGGAGTACCAAAAGGCATCAAAAGGGACAAGCTCAAAAACTGATTTGAGCAGTGGAAAAAGTGTCTCAGTAGGTGTATTGCATCAAAGGGAGAGTACTTTGAAGGTGACTGAAGTTTAAACGTGTAAGGGTAAATACACATTTTTTAAATAAATCAGGTTTTCTTGGAAACCCCTTCATACAGTTGAGGAAATTGAGGCCCAGAGGAGTAAACTCAGAGGCCCGAGTGACACAGTGGATGACTGTTGGAGCCGGGACTTGGGTCCAGATCTCTGCAGACTCATGCTCTCAACCAGTATGTCAGGCCCATGTACGTGGACCCATATGAAATTGCTGTTTCAAAGTCAGAAGTGATGGTGGCGCTTTCATATGACTCCACTAGAAAGGCACTGATCTCTGGGGAATGTCAAGGTGCTCGGGTGGCCGTCTTTTCCCCATGCAAATCTGTTGGCTTTCTTGTACCTGTGCTTCTGCCATACCTCCTCCTTACCCAGCCTACTTTCCATGCCCACGCCACCCAGGCTGCACACCTTCTTGTGTTCTCAGCATTTATGGGTGGCAAAGCTCCACCCTGGACAAAGCCCAGCATTTCACTTTTTCCTCTGCTGCACCCAAGCTTCAGCTGGAGAACACACCTGCCCCACTACACACACGCACCCCCACACACGCCCCACCTCGATCACTAACCCTAGAAGCAGAGATTCTCGTCTGCTTGTCTGCCTGATCTTCTTACTAGATCCTTTTATCAGATTCCACTCTTCACAGAGGCAGTTTCCAGCAGTTTCTGCTGCTTCAGGCCCCCACTACCTCCTTGCTCTGGCCCTTTCCCCCTCCCAGCTTCTCGGGAGCCTGAAGTGAGAGGATTGCCTGAGTCCAAGAGTGTAAGGCTGCACTCCAGTCTGGGTGACGGAGTGAGACTCCAACTCAAAATAAACAGACAAATAAATAAATTATAAATGTACTTTTGAGACTTAAAAAAAAAAGAGATGATATCTTGCTTTATTGCCCAGTCTGGCCTTTGAACTCCTGGACTCAAGCAATCTTTTTTCCCCAGCTTCCCAAGTCGTTGGAATTACAGGCACCAGAATCTTTTTCTTTTTTCTTTTTTTTTGAGTTGGAGTCTCACTCTGTCGCCCAGACTGGAGTGCAGTGGCCGCTCCCGGCCACCGCAGCCTCCACCTGCTGGGCTCCGGCGATCCTTCCGCCTCAGCCTTCCAAGTAGCTGAAACTACAGGTGCGCGCTACCACGCCCAGCTAATTTTTGATTTATTGTAGAGATGAGGTCTCGCCAAGTTGCCCAGGCGGGTCTCGAACCCGTGGGCTCAGGCAATCCACTCACCTCAGCCTCCCAAAGCGCTGAGATTACAGGCTGAGCCACCGAGCCGGCCACCAGAATCTTTTTCTTGAAGGGAGAACAGATTGGCTGGAATCCTGGAATTTCCGATCCAAAGGGCCCTTCTCTCCGGGTTTTGCATAACAATCGAGCTAGACCTAGGGCAGCACTTAGATTTAGTTCCATGTGGAGGCCTGGGAATGAGGCTGGGCCAGAGTCCCATCAGCCAAGTGGGGGCCCGCGGGACTCCTTGTGAGAATCTGGTGGGGAGAGCACAAACCAGGACTGCAGCAACTCCTACGAGAGAACACGAGGAGAGGCAGCAGGGAGGCCACGGGCTGAGTGGGGCTGGGCCTCACATCTTCTCAGTTATCCCTGTTTTCTTCACATCTCAGCAAAAGGTTCACTCAGTGCTAACCCCCTTCCAGTTCCTCTGCCAGCACTTGCTTTCTGGGGACAGCGCCCGTGGCACACTGTGGAGGGACATGAGCTTAGTCACCTTGTGGCTTCTGAGCTCCTGATGTGTGTCTGGTGCCAGGGTGGTGACTTGGGCGTCTGGTGGGCGGAAGAGAGATTGAGTGGGGGTGGCTCCCTCGGCGGTGTGCATGGGTCCCTCCTGCTTGCTGTCTTCTGGTGTTGGGATATTTCAATCATAGCAACACATGCACAGTTATGGAGAATGAAACTGTGGGACACGTCATCCTCGTCCCTGTGTCCACGCTGTTTCTGGTACTTGCCTTCCTATTTGCTAATTAACATCCTTCTGTACCTTTGTTTCTTGACTTTGTTCTCGGGCATTGGTTGGGGTCTTCCAACTTTAAGAGATGCAAGTAGGTCACTTGGGTGACTTCTCTTTCTCCTCCTCTCAAAATGACAGAGGCTTCTGGTTTAGGTACTCTTTGGGTTGTCTTGTGGCCACATGTGGCCAGTGGCTGCCATGTTGAACAGCATAACCCACGGCCTGTCCTGTCTCCTTCCCCACTCAGGAAGGTGTGCCTCTGGTACCCCCCTCTGCTCTCCCTTCTAGTTCCTGCTCTGTCCAGGCAGACAGTCTCCCGAGCCCTGTCTTGGCTGCCCGTCTCCTCCTAACCCTTCCTTCTACCTGCTCTGTGACTTTCTCAGGGTCCAGGAGGACCCATGGGTTCCATTCTGCAAATGTGGTCACTCCTGTCCGTGGCAGAGTCTGACCAGCTGCAGTGCGATGACCCATCTTCCTTCTGCGGCCACCGTTCCTGGTGGGGTGACAGGGTCCTGCCGTCATGCTTCCATTCCTCCACGCCTTACTTTCCCCTGGAGTTTCTATCTTTCCCTCTTTGTCTTTCTTTCCATTTTGTTTTCCATCAAGCTCCTCCCCTTATTGGTTATTTCATGGAGGTTCCTTTCATGCCCCTTTTGTTTCTGCGATTTCAGGCAGGAGTCATCAGTGTCTCTCCCTTAGAGCAAGGACTTTTGCTGACTCACCACCTTGTCTGTGGCCCCTTTTCCCTCTCCTCACCCTGTTCTGTTCTCACCCTTGGCCGTAGGTTAGTTAGGACGTGCCTGGAATGCTCTGGGTTCCTTGAGTGGTGCTGTCAGCCCTGGTGTGCCTCTGGTACCCGCCTCTGCTCTCCCTGGTGGAATTAGCCATCGGCCGCGCTGGTGGCTCCGGGAATTCGTGGCTCCCCAGGCACCGAGTGGCTTTTGTGTCCTGGTGCACCTCAGCTCCTCCCTGTGACGCCGTGCTGTGTCCGGTGAGCCTTTTTGTGGTTTGATTCGCATCTGGTCTCCTGGGATTGCGTTCAGGTGGAGAACAGTGACATGAATGCAGGCCTTGCTGGTTCTAACAGTCGCCTGTTGATGAGCAGATGAGGCGAGCTCTTGGGGTTGTGTGGACTTGGAGCTGACAGACTCTGAGGCCACTTGTGCTGTCTCTTCAGTTAGCAAAAGGTGTGACAAGCAGCCAGCCTATGCCCCAAGCACCACAGACCACCAGCTGCGCCCCAGCCACCCCGCCCAGAAGTGTAAGTATGACCCTGTCTCGCGGAAGCTGCCGGGGATCACTCCCGGCATACAGAGGGCCCGTGTGTGTGTGTGTGTGTGTGTGTGTGTGTGTGTGTGTGTGTGTGTGTGTTTTCTTGTGGGCGTGTCTCCTTCTGTCCTTTTGAGTGACGGGTCTTTGCTGTGCTGCGTTTCTTAGCTGCACCTCTGGTAGCCCCCCGGGATCTGCATCAGGACAGGAGAGCGAGGGAGCAGTCTGGTTTCTCCAGGGGACTCTCCTTCTTCTCATAAAGGGGCCTAGATGCCCCCCTGCTGTGCTGGCCGTGTCTGCTTCTGCCTTGTGTCCTGTCCACGTGAGGACTCAGTTTCTGCGAGTCCTTCCTGGCCATCCTGGTTGTGCCATCGGGACACTGCGCCAAGCCTGCCCTTGTGCCCGTGTTGTCCTGTAGCCCCGCTGGGCTCTGTTTCCTCCAGAGCTTGAAGGACTCGGATTGGTATGACACATCATTGTAGGATTCTCTGTCCTGTGGGGATGACCAACTGCATCCCTCCCCAAAGACCTTCTAGAAGAACTAAAAGCGTGGGCACGATGGATAGGGAAGAGGGTGCAGGTGGTAGATTCAGGGCTAAGACGTGCCCCTGTCCCAGCTCTGCCCGCCACCATGCTGTCCCACTCTGGTCACTGGTGCAAGGGACTCACGAATCCTCTCGTGAGCAAATACATTGTGCTGGAGATCTCGTTCTCTTCACTACTCATTTTCCAGAACTCATGATGAAACACACGCATGCCTTTTTACCAGACAGTAAGAAACGCAGGCCCCTGGGAGTAATACCCTTCTTCACTCAGTTCTAAGCTCAACGCTGGACTTCTTTCCACCAAATGTCACCCGCCTCAAGGACAAAGTTCTGCCCCAGGCCGTCTGGACTTGGTCCACGGTCGAAGCTTTGGCAGGGTCTTCGTGGTTGGCCAGCAGGTGTCTTGCCATCAGCTGCTGCAGGCCTGCGCTTGGTAATTGAGGTCCACTCTTGACACCGCGTTTGGCTGTCCCTCCAGCCTCCCCCTTTTCTCAGTCACTTCTTGGCTCCTTGTACGTGTGTCCCTGAAGCCGTCCCAGGTCTTTTCTGTGTCTTTGCTTCCTTCAGGGACTCCTCAGCTTGTCCCTGCCGGGAGCCGGCAGGCCTGTGATCCCAGGCGGACTTGACTTTTCTTCTCTGCTGTGATCCTTGCCCTTGGGGGGACAAGTGTGAGGATAAGTCTTTTTTCCAAGTTGCCTTTCCGTTGATAAAAGAAATCCCATTAACGTAAGTCGATTGCATGCCAGTTTTTGGCGCCTTGTTCCAAGGTGGGACGCAGAAATGCACAGAGCATTTGGCATTGTAATGTGGGGACATGGTTCCAGGCACGGCACAAGAAACGCCTCCCTTAGCACTTTGGTCGCTGTCTCACTCGTCTTTATTCTCTGTGAGCGTGACACCCTATTGTTTTTCCAGCCAGCTGTTATTAAATCCTAAAAAAGTAAGCTGTCCTAGGCCGGGTGCAGTGGCTCACACCTGTAATCCTAGCACTTTGGGAGGCCGAGGCAGGAGGATGGCTTGAGCTCAGAAGTTTGAGACCAGCCTGGGCCAGACCTCGTCGTCTTGATAAGCAATCAGAAAATTAACCTGGCATGGTGGTGTGCACTTACAGTCCCAAGCTACCTGAGAGACTGAGGTGGGAGGATCGCCTGAGCCCAGGAGGTCGAGGTGAGCCGTGACTGTGCCACTGCCCTCCAGCCTGGACGACAGAGACCCTAACTCAGAAAGAAAAAAAAAAAGTCGGTCTGCCTCTGTGCTCTGCAGACCCACACGTGTGGGGCAGTTGGGGGTGGGAGTATTTTAACCATCAGTGTTAGGTGGAGGGGAGGGGGTCTCGGGAGGGAGCCTGGACCCTTCGGTCAGACAGTCGCGTGCAGGGGTGGGTGCGCAGGCGCTCACCCCTCGGCTTGCCTCCCCAGATCACTCCCGGAGTGGCAAGTCTGGCTGGAGCGGCGGCGAGGAGAAGCGGGGGTCCACGCGGTCCGAACACAACAGCAGCAGCAAGAGCCTCCTCCCCAAAGAGTCTCGGCTGGACGCCTTCTGGGACTAGGGGTGGCGCGAGACGCCAGCCACCCACCCCACGGGCCGACCCAGGCGCCGGGACAGTGGGGAACCGCAGAGACTGGAGGACGGCTGCCGCCTCCGCCCTTGGGAATGCTGAATCCGGCACATTCCGGCGTGGCCCGTGCGCCTGGCGGGAGGGGCCGTCTACACTACATGGCGCCCAGCACTAGCCCCGACCACAGGAGCCCCAAGCTTGAGATGTAAATAATGTACAATTTGTGGATGTCATTGAGCCTAGAGTACCTTCCCCTTTTTATATTTGTATTGACTTTAACTTATAAAAAAAAAGAAAAACAATTTAAAAAACCCAGCAACAATAAGAATGCTTTGGTGTTGAGAAGGGGTGGTCCCGGGGCCCGACTGTTGCACTGTGGGCGGGGGCTGCCCCAGGGATTGCTGTGTCTCTCGCACTCCTGTCCCCGGCGCCCCGGGGGAGGTGAGCCGTCTGGCCCAGGGGTCTGGGGGCCGCACGCTGGGGTCAGGGGTTTCGGCGCAGGCCCTGTGCCGTCGTGGGTGCGCCCCATCAGGCCATCGGCTCCTTCCAGACACGACGATCTCGTGGTCTGAAATGAGCTCTCGGGCCCAGAAGGACACAGGGAGAAGCTGGATGATTTTGTGTGATTTCAACGATGACTCCACTCCTCGAAAGGGAAACCACAGTGTCCTTGTTTACAGAAGAGACACAGAAACGAGCCCCACACCCCGCTCAGAGGCGGAAGAGAAGAACCTGTGAGGCTCACAAACTCTGACACGGAGAGAAAGCTTTTCTTTGTGGCTCCTTTCCACACACACACGCTCGGTCAGCGACGGCGGCTTCTTGGGACTCAGAGGCGAGGTGCGCGGAGGACGTTTGAGCCTGGGCTGAAGCATGTATGTATTATTTATATGGCGGAGTTTCACGTTTCTATGTAAGCATGAACCAGAGGCAGGATGAGAGAACGCGAGCCCCGTCGTGCTGTCTGTTACACTACGTATGCTGTAGCCCCACGTTGTATGTTGTGTAAAAGCATCGATCAAAGCAAAAGGTGATGTATGTATATGAGAAATTAATTGTACGATATCATTCCAGTACATTCTGTTGTACATTTCAGTCTCGTTTCCTTTCTCTTCTTTGTTGATAAGAGGATGTGGACTGTACAGTTCCCGCTCGTTCCCCCCTGTTAGAGGAGAGATCCGGAGAGAGGGTTAGAAGAAGCCAGGAGAGAGAGAACATTTGTGAATTGCAGTTGTCAAAAAAAAAAAAAAAATAGCCTAGCTGGCCTTATTTGGGAAGCATAATTGCTTTTAGCATATGGAAGTATTTTTTCACATTTTCTTTGTATAAAATTTGTATTAAACTTAAATATCTTTTGGATGGCGGTGTTTCTTTGTGATTGAGCCCGTGGACGCTCACGGGATGCTCTTTTGGGGTCCCCCCCTGCCTTCTCCTCCCCTCCTCAATTTTTTTCAGATTCTTCACCTTTTTTTAATTAAACTGTCCTGGAAAGATGTCTCGGTCGCCCTCGAATGTGCAGTTTTCCATTTGGTCAGGATGGTCGTGTCAGGCTGGTGCGACCAGACCCAGAAGGGACTGTGAGGTCAGGATCCGCCCCCAGGCAGGGCATGGCAGAGATGATGGCCCCAGCGAGTGCTTCTGGGACGCTGAGGTGCACAGTGGGAGGGCAGGGTGTTGTCTTTCTGAGGCCAAGACAGGCTGAACTGACGGGATTGGCGTGGGCAGCCGTGATCCTGTTATCCCCAGATGCCCCAGTCTCAGCTCTGGGCCCAGCTGGCGCATAAAGCAAGCTGAAAAGGCTGAGGTTAGTTCCCTTGGCAGCAGGGTCCCTTTTCTCTGGCATCCAACAGGTCCCAACAAAGCTCTGCCCCAAAGACACTTTCCTACCAAGGGTCAAGGCTCAATGTGACCTGCAGAAGAGTTTGGAAGCCCGGGTATGAGTTTATTCATACGATCAGCAAACGCATCGGGCACTGTCTGGGCACCAAGCAGGCTGGGGTGACATCCAGGGATCTGGTCCCCTGTCTGTGTCGAGTGTGTATCCTCCTGGGGGCGACAGTCACTCAGCTACTCAACAAGCACTTCTAGGGAACCAGTCTCACAAAATCAGATTGCAGCTGCTGGGGACAGAATGGTGAGGAGGGGTCCGTGAGCCTGCCATGAAGGGCCACGATGGGTCTTGGGGGCCATGGCAGGCCTCGAATCCTCTTCAGGGACAGACCATCTGCAACTGCGAAACATGACTCAGACGGGGGCATCCCGTGACTGAACGCCATGAAGGCAGGGGGTCTGCAGATGCTGTAGCAGGCCAGAGAAGTTTTTTATTTTTGAGTCGGAGTCTCACTCTGTCACCCAGGCCGGAGTGCAGTGGCATGATCACAGCTCACTGCAGCCTCAACCTCCAGGGCTCAGATTATCCCCCCCCCCAAGCCTCCCAAAGGAGCTGGGACTACAGGTGCATGCCCAGCTAATTTTTTGAGCTGTTGTAGAGATGAAGTCTCGCCTTGTTGCCTGCAGTGATCTCAAACTCCTCATGGCTCGGCCTCCCAAAGTGATGGGATTACAAGTGTGAGCCACCGCTCCCGGCCAGAGTAAGTATGGTGGCTCTGTGGGCCCTGTGGTCTCTGTCACAACTGCTCACCCCTCCCGTGGCAGCATGAGTGCAGTCATAGAGGACACAAAAATAAGAGGGTATGGTCGAGGGTCACAGGCACTGACATTGAATTCTAGTTCTAGAATCCCGAAATACTCTTCTGGTTTGTTTCCAGCCATCTAAAAACGTCAACAGTATTCTCAGCTCATAGGCCTCACATGAGCAGGGGTGTGGGCAGGTTCTGGGCTGCTGGTTGTTGGCTGACCGGGGTGTGGGGGCACTGAATGGGGCTGGTTTAGAGCAGAGCTGAGCTTTGGAGGTGACCACTCTAGCTGGGGCCACACAGAGGCCTCTCTGGGAGGGGACATTTGAGCTCAGACCTGAACGAGGAGCCCCCTGTGGGAAAATTAGATAGATGAGTGCCCCAGGCAGAGGGCCCAGCATGTGCAAAGGCCCTGGGGTGCACGTGAGCTTGACAGGATGAACAGCAAGAAGCCCAGTGTGGCTTCAGGGAGTGAGCGCATCGGGGAGGATGCCACTCGCTGCAGAGTTGGTGACCTGTGTCATTTGCATGGCGGTTTCCCCTCAATCTTCTGGTGTGAACCAGCCAGAAAGGGCTGGTTGATGTGGTCTCCCATTAACTGCTGTAGAAACAGGCCCAAAGAGGCCACTAATGGAAGGCCACAGGGCTGATGGGATTCAGTGTGGACTCTTGTTGAAGTGCTCTTCCCAGGCGTTTTTATAATGCTCGCGTCCCTTTCTTGGGCATGCACGTGTACCTGGAGACCAGAGAGGGCAGGGCCAGGGCTTCCAGGGTCCCTGCTGTCAGCTTTCCACTGAGCCTTTCTTGTCTTGGCATCTGCACTCTGCTCCCACCCGGCACCCCCGTCCGTGGCTGGCACCAGGTTCTTCAGGGGTCACCCTCAAAGTGGCCGCCACTCTCGCCCCTAGTGTCCTGTCTCGGCCTCTGACTGTTCTCTTCACCTCCCTGAGCAAAGCGTGTAGGCGTTTCCCATTCGCCAGTGTGTGTGTCCCTCTCAAATGGGAGCGGTGAGGGAGGGCTGTGTCTGTTCCCTGCTGCGTGCCTGGGACCCGGAAGGGCCAAGGAGGGTCCCACGGCTCCTAAGCCGCGGGCAGCTGTCAGCCTCCGAGATGTCCTCACCTGGAGGCGACCCCTGGCACCCCCAGTCTCTGAGAAAAGACATCTCAGGAAGGAGTGGCTTGCTGGCTCGGAGGTGGAGGGACTGCCATGTTGGAATGGTGAAGTTTAGTTTTACTGTGTTTTTGACCAGCGAACGCAGTCACATGTCCCCAACTTGAAGCTGGTGAAATGGCCCGTGGCGTAATGTCCCCCCTCCCAGTCCCGGGCCCCTCTCAGCCCCTTTCTGCCTGTCCCTTGGGACATGCATTTACAGGCCCAGGCTGGGAGACATTTCTTTCTCCCTCCTCTTTTTCTACATAAATGGTGACATTTGATACATGTTTTTCTGCCCTGTTCTCTGCCTCCCCTTTATTTGAGTTGGGGTCTCACTCTGTTGCTCAGGCTGGAGTGCAGTGGCACCAGCACAACTCACTGCAGCCTTGACCTTGGCTCAGACGGTCCTCCCACCTCAGCCTCCTGAGTAGCTGTGACTACTAATGTGCGCTGCCATTCTTGGCTAGTTTTTTTTTTTTGGTAGAGATGAGATCTTTCTGTGTTGCCCAGGCTGGTCTCAAACTCATGGGCTCAAGCAATCCTCCTGCCTCAGCCTCCCAAAGTGCTGGGATTACAGGCGTGAATGTCCTCCCCTTTTTAAAACTGAATCTGAAGGCTTCGATATTGTTCTGTACTGGTGCAGATCATTCCTCTTTATGGGTGTGTGACATCTGTCACGGGGTCAGGATCTAGTGCATGAGGCCAGCTCCCAGTTGGTGGACATTCAGATTGTCCCCAAATACTGGCTACAGGAAACAGCCCTGCAGCACGTGTGTGCACCTGTCCCCCTGAGGGTGCCTGTGGGAGTCCTGCCCATGGCGGCCACACCAGAGGGTCACTGAGTGGCCAGGTAAGAGGGAAACGACTCGGAGGTTCCAGTGTGGGTGGAGTGTCTTCAGATGCCCAAAGACTCTCAATCTACGAATGGGAAGGCACGATGGGATCTGGAGAGCCTGGCAGATGCTGCCATGGTCCTTGCTCCTTCGTCTTAGCAACGGCCAGGCATGGGGCAGAGACAGGCACGGGACAGGGACAGGCAATGACCGGGACAGAGACAGGCAATGGCCAGGACAGGCGGAGACCGCCAAGGGACAGCCTTTTTAGGCAGCGGCACTCTCGCCACCTGGTGGCCACAGGCAGAACTGCGGCTCTTAGAGACAGCGGGACCACGTGGGCCCAAGTCAGGCATTCCGGTGACAGCAGTTTAGGAGTCCTCTGTAGGAGCCGGGCGCTGGCTGGGGACACAGTGGTGAACAAGCCTGGTGTGGTCTGTCCTCATCGATGTGACCTAGGGGCGCTGACTGA